TAGTACTAGGTTAAGCGTAGAATAAACTTCTACTTTCTCTATCCTCGTATATAGCGAGTATAAAATATATACTAGGGAATTATATATACTATTACGTAGGGAAGGTTTATCTCGGTCCCTTTTAGGTTTCTAAATATCTCTTAGTATTCCTTTATAATAATAGCGTTTAACTTACTATTTAATCTTACTATTTAGTTTATAAAAATACCTAAACCTCTACTTTAAAATTATTTTAGTAGTCTATTAACTCTTTTCTTTTAACGAGCTCTAACTAAGGACTTAAGCTTAGTACTCGTACTAAGTAAGATTCTAGGATTAACGAACTAATTCTAATACTCTATAATATACGTAAAAAGTATTACTTCTTAATATTTTAGCTTTTAGTAGTTTAAATATAGATATATCTACTCTATAGTATCTATATAATAAAATTATAGTTTAAATAAACCCGAGATTCCTATTTTAATATCGCTATCGCTATCGTAAGTTAGCGTCACATGTAAACTACTTAGTAATAAAATCTTTAGTTATCGTTTAATATATAACGTTAACTTACGATAGCGATAGTAACGTCTCTTTTCTTTATATAATATAAAACGCTAGTTATTTTATATCTTTATATATTACTTATTAGTATAATACGTGTTTTAGTAAGTTTTATACTATATACTGTAGTTTCGTACTTTTTTGTGTGTTGTAGCGCGACGCGCTATAGCGCGCTGTTTCGCATATAATAATAAGGACATGTTTTGCTGCGCCCCCTCGTCTTTCCTCCTGCCCATGTCTTCCGCTCCTTATCCTCTCTTTAATTCACGTCTTCATTCTTTGCAGAGATTTGGTTTTTCCATTTAGCCTATACAGTTTCACTGAAGAGTCTAGATGTGGTGGATGCAGCACAAAAACATAGAAGGAACTGCGTCTGAGGGTACTTCGACCAGTTGCTTCTGTTGAGCCTTCCGCAACCTGCAGGTGCAGCTGCCTGAGGGGGTACAACGCCACGACTCAGCCTCGAGATCTGGATGTGTCGCGACATACATGAATCGGCGCCTGCCCGGGGCCATTCGCAGAGATAGCCATTCTGTCTTGGTGCTCGGATATCAACCAGAGAACGCAGAGACCGGGATTCTTCTACACCATCATGTCTAAAAGGAAGAGGTCGTGTTCCCTCGCATTCACCCACGAGCCGCTCGCGCATCCCAGCAAAGACATTCGACTACTACGCTTCAAGAGCAAGCACGACTTGGGCGAGCTCAGGATGATGGATTGTGAAGTCACAACTTGGCCCTTCGAGAAGGCACCGCCTTACGCCGCCGCTTCTTACGTTTGGGGATCGCCGGAGCATACCAGCTGGGTCACGCTGAACGATCGGCATTACGAAGTTCGTCGGAACTGTTATGATGCACTGAGTCAGATTCGTCGGCAAGCCCCGGATAGCTATGTCTGGAGAGACAGCATCTGCATCAACCAGGACGATCTTGATGAGAAGGCGCTGCAAGTCGCAATGATGGGCGACATCTATCAAAGGGCGAACATGGTGTATTCCTGCGTCGGCGAGCACTCTGACGGAAGTGGAGATGTCATCGAAGTCGTTAGAGAAGTCGCATCATACGTAAGAAGCATTTCTCCAAACCCAGGTAGTAACCTGGGATCACTAGCGCGACAGAAGATCTGCGAGATTACGTCCTGTCCAGGAAGAGACACTGGCGGCGAGGTGATGCACGATTATAGCCTCTACCACCGATGTCTCGACCCGAGCTTCAAATCCGCATTTACTGTGATCGGGAACAGGCCTTACTGGAACCGCGTATGGATCGTTCAAGAAGTCCGTCTTGCGGAACATTGTCTTATCTTGTGTGGCGAGAATCACATCTCGGTTGACGACTTCGGAACCTTTATGAAAGTCATGTACGAGAATGAGTCTGGGGACGTAGCCCGCGATGTTGATGGTCCCAACAGCCGAATTAACTGATACCAATGCCACTTGATGTTGGTGATTTCTTCATTTAAAGATGATCACACACCCTCGACCGTGGCACGTCAAGAGCTCTTGGACCTCTCGTTGACTATCAGGCAGTCTGAAGATCGGCATTGCACTGATGCTCGAGACAGGCTGTATGCACTTACGAAAGTGATGGAGTGGCCGCCGCCAGAACTTCCGCCAGCACCGGACTACAAAATCTCGCCATTGTGTCTTGTCATCGAAGTTCTACGACGTCTCCCTGGTGTACGTGCTGAATACCGAGAGTGCGCTTGGCCGGTTCAAAGTCTTCTTCAGTCATTTGGAGTTACTGTTAGAGATCAAGAAGTCCAGCAAATACTTTCGGGAAGGGGGTTTGAAACCCCACAAGGCTGCCAAGTAGCTAGCACCAAGGAGCTCTTGTCAATCAGTCCGAGGCACTCTCCTACGGCTTCGTCCAGAATTGTCAGACTAGAAGATGGCCGATTGAGTCTTGATCATGCCCACTATCATCGACCAAGCAATAACGCCACAAATGGCGGAGCACGGGCATACCCAACAAAAGTTGGACGGAAGCTGTGGGTCGAAGACGAAGTCTTCGGGCTCGCATGTCCACGTGCTTTACCTGATGACTTTTTGGTGGTTGTGGATCAAACTCACTCCCTGCACACGTATCTGGTCGTCAGGTACGAGTCGACCTCTGGCGTATGGGGAATCGTAGGGCCAGCTTTGTCCGTAGTTGCTTACCCTTGGATCTCGAGACCTCTGGCTGAAAATGATGAGTATCATGAACCTTGGGAGACGGTGGTGTGCCCGACGGTTCCCATGTTCTTTGATCTTTGGTTTGAGGACGAAGACTTCTTGATCTGGTCGATATATGTAAACGGCCTACAATCGGACCAGCTGAGCGATGCCGAGAAAGATGAATTCCTGGAATACCGCGTGGCAGGATCGAGGTTTTCGTCGTATGCACTGTGGCGAGAGGACTGGTCTTGGGATTCGAATGACGAAGAAGATAGCGGAGGCAGCTCCATCGGAGAAGAAAGCGAAGACGGCACAGAGTCGGAGGGCTTGAAGTGCAGTTTGCGGTGACGAAAACCTCATTCTTCTCCCCGAGCGATGATATTTGCCAATCATCTATCTCTTCTGCTAAAACCCGGCACGCAGGCGATACCCCATTCTCACCGACATACTCGTTCACGCAAAGTATGGAGTATATCGGATGGACTGCTTTGACTGGATCCCAAGCGCCACCATGACCTCGCTCCAGCTGTTGTCCTCAGTGACATCACGAAGCGGACAGTCGAAGTTCTTCGAGTCGATCTTGCCGTCGTCACGAACGCACGACATGAAGAGCCCGACTGTGTCCCAAAGCATGTTGTCGAAGTAATCAAGGACAGAGCCCCCAGATCCGTTGGAGTGTGCCTTCTTCCACCACGTCTGGACATTGGTCAAGATGCTCTCAGGCAACTGTCGAACTCGCTTCATTGCCGACCGGAACATCACGCAGTGGATTAATTTGACGAAGCTGGTTCCGAGCAAAGACCCAACGATGACACCCTCAGCCTCTGCCAGGTGGCAGAACAGGAGCATGTACGAGGCCATGACCATATCCGGCAAGATGCCGCGGTGTGGACCGAGCGAGGCGGATGGGACGTCGCGAAAGTCTGCGCCTTCAATCCAATAGAGCAGATGGCGCATCATGGAACGGCGACAATGGCTGATGAATCTGTCTGTAGGCGGCAGTGTGCACATGTGGCACTTGCAGGTGAAGTGCAGAGAATCCGAGGCCAACGTGCTCACGACGTTGCTCGTAGGTCATGAATTGCGTGTTGAGGTAGTAGTGGAACGTGAGTTCGTCTCCAGGCTCCAAGTCTTTGAGCACCGTGATCCTCTTCTCGTAGTACTTCTCATGCGTGTCAATCATGCAGTTGGCTTGGCAAGAGTGGTTGAGGCGACTGCGGATTGGGAAGCAACCGACACCTCCTGGAAGGCCGAAGGCATTGGCGAAGAAGAGTCCGGACTTGCAACCGCATATGCCATGGCAGTTGCGCATATTGTCGAAGATGTGTTTGTCTTGGCTGCTCAGGTTCTTGTAGGCTGCGATGAGGTTGTTCTCTGAGACTTGGCTACGATCCTTGTTGAAAGACATGATGGACTGCTCGGGGAAGACTGTCGTGAAGGCTTTGATGGGACGGGTCGCAAAGGCACCAAGGCCTTTGCCTTCTGCTTCCTTGATCTCGAAGTAGTCGAAGCTTCGTGGAAGAACCGAGCCGTAATCCGATGGAATGTGCACTTGGTCGATGGTGATTTTCTTGCCTGAAGACATGGTCAGTGTACTGCAAAAAAGCACGATGCTTAGAGATTACCTGAAGTGGTGGATCCTGTTGTCTTGGATGTTGTCGCCGCCTTGCGCGCTTTCGCCTTCTCCTTCTTTCCCGCCGTACTAGGATGGTGTTGATGGAACGTACATGTTTTGAGAGATGAAAATCGGAAAGGTGGCTTGGAGGCCTGTGTTTCAGGCATCCACCACGTCGCGTGACGTGCTTGACGTGAATGAGGAAGGAGCGCCTTTGTTTTCCAAAACGAAGTGACACTTTCCCGTCCAGGAACTGATACAAACAAGTGAAAACAATGAGAGAAAGACACAGCGGTAACTGGAGGGGTAGGTGCCTTTTTCTTTCCATCTTCGCTCACAACAGCTGCTGCATACGGTTCATAGCTCAAGCACGAGACTGAGCCAACTCCCAGTCTCTGATGTCGCTTTGGAGGTTGTCGAGTCGATTGTCGAACGTCTTCTCACCATCACTTGCCCCTCTTCTCCGATGCGATTGCGTCTGAGTTCAATCGTCCGCTCTGTCCACTTCTTGATCTCTTGAAAATCGCGCCCTGCCTTCGGTCCGTGATTCTGAGCCTCTGCCAGGAACAAGCAAGCGAGTTCCAGAAATAATGAGGACAAGATCCCCTCCTGCTCTGCCAGCTCAACAAAGGCTCGCGCATGCTCCGTGACCTTGTTTTGGAAGCAGTAATCGTAGCCAAGGGCAGCTTCCAGCTTAGCTTCGGGCATTGGGAAGCCATCTTCTCGCACGATGTCCATCTCGCTCCACTTGTAGTAATCTTCCCTCATTAGCGCTCTTCGCCGGTCGCTGTCTGCTCGATCTCTTTCAGGCTGCGTGCAAATGGCGCACAAGCAGTCTCGGAAAGTAAAGCGCAAGTTCTTCAAGTACTGTGCTCTTTGAACGGATGTCAGGTACAAGAAATTCTCGTTGTACGCGAAGGTGAGCTCTTCTCCGGCTGGAACATCCTTAATGAGGATACACTGAATGCTGTCGTTTGAAGTGGGGGTCATGCTGCAATTTGGTACGCAAGAATGGTTGAAGCGTGAAGCGTGCACAAAGCAGCCGGATTTGCCGTCGTTGATCGTGAACCTGTTCAGGTGGAACTTCATATCGTGGGTTGCAACAATCCCCTGATGGCCGCCAGGAAGGATTCCCGGGGCCCGATCGAATTCGGCTCGATCCTGGGGCGACATACGATGGTACTTCTGCGTCGTATCTATCGGGCTGATATGAGATAAAGCCGTGTTGAAGACCATGAGCGGCTTGTCGACAAGGATCTTTGTGCCTGCCTTCAGAGAGTTCAAGGCAAATGCCCCTCGATCCTTACCAGGAACATCTCGGAGCGTGTAGTAGTTGTAGTTTCCGCGAGCTATGGATGTTACATTAGAATGTGTGCGGAGCGTTGGCTGTGGTTTAACATACCTGATCCTGGAGCTTGCATCTTGAGTCGAGCAATTGAGAACTGCTTTTGGCCATTTTAGCAATGCATCGCAAGTAGGTTATATGGATGTAGAAATAAAGAGTTGATTTGCTTGCGCGCAGATACTTCTCTATGTGTCTGTATTCATCCTCTGGTCTGAGGGTTCAGATGTTGTTTGTCGCCTGACTTGGGTGCCGCAAGGAAAGGTGTGACTCCACCGGTGGAATCAAAGCCAGCAGATCTCGCTGTATCTCGATGATTCCTCAACTTTCCTTACGGGATTTCTTTCAACTGCAAGCAGCATCTCTACGGCATCGTGAAGGAGCGCGACGGCGTATTGTATGATCACATCCGTGGGAGAGAGGCTTTTTTGGGCGGTGGCTGCTGGCACTATCGCACCATTTTGACACCTTTCCGTGTCCGATGTCTTGATAGCTTCAATATCGTGGTCGATGCTAGGAGCGAAGAGACTTCCAAAGTGAAGCAGGTGAACTCGAAACGCCGGAGCCGAGTCCGCTGAGATCGACAAATCACGAGCCAGCCTCTTCAATTTCGCGACTACACCTTCGACCATGTCACAGCAAGATGATATGCTCCCACGGCCGCTACCATCGGCGCTGACCTTCGAACTTGCTTCGAGATGCTCAGTGAGTCTCTCGCATTATCATGGTTCTGGCATTGGCTGACTGAGGCTCGCAGACCACCAAAGCCCGAGCAGCGACCCTCAACCTCCCACATGGACCGGTCCAACTACCCATGTTCATGCCCGTGGCTACGCAGGCTTCTTTAAAAGGCCTCACTCCGAAGCAACTTGAGGAGACGAGCTGCAGGCTATGCCTCAACAATACCTACCATTTGTACGATTTCTGGCATTGAAGATGAAAGAGCTGGGCTGAACATGATACAGAGGTCTCAAACCAGGGCAGAAGACGTTGGACATCATAGGCGGAGCACATAAGCTGCAGTCATGGCCACACAATATCTTGACAGGTGGGATGTAACGAGCATGAGTGTGAGGGCAAGACTAATGGGATACAGACAGCGGCGGGTACGTCGTCGTGACGGCAGGCTGCACTTCCACTCGGAGCTGACCATATCACAGCTTCCAGATGGTCTCACTCTTGAAACTTGCCCAGGTCACCGAAGAAGGCGTACGATTTCTCAGTCCTCATGATGGATCTCCAATGTATGTTTTATTGAACCCAGTATGTTGTTTGTGCTGACCATTCTTAGGCTCCTCACTCCTGAGCACTCAATCTCGTTGCAGAACTCCATCGGGTCCGACATCATCATGCAACTGGACGATGTGATTGCGACGACCTCGCCCGACCACGAGCGAATCAAAGAAGCGATGCACCGCTCCGTGCGCTGGCTCGATCGCTGTATTGAAGCCCACAAGAAGCCCGACTCCCAGAACCTCTTCTGCATCATCCAAGGCGGCCTTGACCTGGACCTTCGACGGGAATGCTGCAAGGAAATGGTCGCGCGGGACACACCTGGCATTGCCATTGGAGGTCTCAGTGGAGGCGAAGCCAAAGCTGAGTTCTGCAAAGTGGTCGATACTTGCACTGGTCTGCTTCCCACGCACAAGCCGCGATATGTCATGGGAGTGGGCTACCCGGAAGATATCCTAGTCTCCGTCGCTCTCGGGGCCGACATGTTTGACTGTGTGTGGCCCACCCGCACTGCGCGGTTTGGGAACGCCATCACGGACTCCGGTTGCTTCAACCTGCGGCATGCTTCGTATGCTTGCGACTTCGGCCCCATCGAAGAAGGCTGCAAGTGTATATGTTGCAAGCCAGACTCTGAAGGTGGCCTCGGCATCACGAGGGCATACATTCACCATACCGCCTCCAAGGAAACCGTAGGAGCGCATCTCCTCAGCATGCACAACGTCCACTACCTCCTGAACCTCATGCGCCGAGTCAGAGAGGCTATCATCGAGGACAGATATCCCGAGTTCTTGAGAACACATTTCAAGAAGCTTTACAGCGACGATCCACCCACCTGGGCTGTGGATGCACTTCGAGGCGTGGGCGTGGACTTGTTGGGATGAACGTAACCTCATGGCTCAACATTACACATTAAAAGCTCTATCTACGGCGGCCAAGTCGACTCAGTTGGCACTAAAAGAAGCCTCGAGGCAGCCTGCTGTTGTACCCCATTCCCGGCTGCAGACCCATGAACTGCTGTTGCATCGCCGCATGCCGACCTTGACCGGCCCGTCCAGACCAGCCACCTCCATAATAGTCCCGTGCATAGTCGGCGGGCGAAGTCATGTCGGTACGCGCAAAGGGACCCCAGTTGTTCTCCATAGCGCCGCGACGGCCGATGAAGGAGTCATCGCCTAGCCCGTAGTACCCTCTTGGTCGACCTTGCCACGCCCCCCTGCTGCCCGGCCAATTCTGCCACCCAGACATGATGACTGCTCTTGATTGCAGTTTTTGTATTGGTGTGTGAGTACGTTGTTTTGGGGAGTCTTCTTGAGTTGATGGTGTGGTAAGAGGCTCTATCGGTGGTCTGATGCTCGTTGCTAACTTCCATTGTCGCTGCTTGGAAGATGGGTATAAATGCGCGGAGACGTGCAAAGAAGCTCCCCATTCCACGATGATGTCCATAGCATCGTTGAACTCTTCACAGACGACCGCTTGTGCTGTCGCACCCTTCGCTGCCTGCTCAATCATCAATCCGGTCTTCACTGCTGCAATCTGTTTCGGTGGCGCCACGCTCATGACCTCCAACGCCGCATTTGTTCAATCATAAGTATACATGTCCCAGGCGAGATGATGAGAAGTAGGAAAGCATAAAGAGAGTGATCATTGCCAAAGCTGACGGGTCTTCGGGATTGCCGGAACCATACTCTCTGCCGCGTACTCACTCTGTTGAATGCGACAACTTTCGGTGCTGCCAAACCTCAATCATGCCATATTTTCGTTTGTGTTGTTCGATAGACTCGCTGCTGTCAAGGTGCCAGCATTGACTGGCCCTGGCACCTGCCCAACCTGGTGTGTTTATATGCGGATCGGCGAGGCTCGGGCCGATTTTACGCCACACAGGCGAGAGTGAAGGGCTTTTGCAGGCTAGCGGCGTCAACGAAAGAAACCACCCATCACCCACAGCGTCATACCGGAGTTCGGGCCATTCTTACAAAGATTCTCGAATTCACGGCCGACATCATCGCTTGACTGGTTTTCTACCATATCAGCCTCTCGAGACCTGCCTCTTTAGTGCTTTTGACGTACGATTGGCTTCCGCATCTACGCTTTCCATACCTGGTCCCTCGACAAGCATTCCATAGCCGAAGGTTCGATCGGCAGGATAACAACCAACAGAGTTTACAGGCTTCACGGAGGGCTGGACCGCCAGGGACCAGAAGCTTGGATGGCGGAAAAGCTCACGGCCACACTATTTGCTCAAGTTGCCAGAGACCGTGTGAACGAGAAGCAGCCACCGAGTCCGGGCAACGACATCGACGCGGATCGCTGCGCGGCGCTTCACAACACCTTGACTCTCTATGGGTGGTTTTGCTCTGGCAAGAAAATCTCGACGTTGACGAAGCGGACGTGGTGGAGCACGCATGGGAATGATGCGCTGAAGAAGATCCTGCGACCGAAACTGGTGCGGTACCTGTCCAAGATCTTCGAGGTGCCGAATTATCACTTCTTCTACCATGTTTCTGGGCTTGCGAGTCCGGAGCATATGTTGAGGCTTGCGGATGTGGTTGAGGATGTCGAGCACGACGATCCGCGGTTGTCCGAGAAGTTCAGGTTCGTGATCATTTACAAGAGTTCGGAGGCGTTGGTCTCCCAACCAGCGGGTATAGTCTTCGACCAGCAGACGAGCCTGGCCCTTTTGATGCCGACGTACCACCATGTTTTCAATCTCAAGGATCCGGACCTGCCGTGGCAGAAGATGGAGACGATCCTCAGCGCTTACATCGACATGGTGGAGGGTGAAAAGGCCGTTGCCATTCACGACGAGTCCACGGTGGAGATGGAGGACGATGTCGCACAGAAGGGAGGCGATCTCGTGAAGAACAAGACTTTTGCGCGATACAAGACCCGGCCGTGGATTCTGCAGCCGTACACCCTGGACGATCTCCATGCTTGTCTAGATGCCTGGGCTGCGCTGGTGAAGGCGATTGAGAAACGCGCGGGTATCACCAAACAGTACCAGGAGCCTGAAGACGATGATTACGACCCTAATGAGATAGACCCTCTGTGCTCGAGGACGGCACTGAATATTGCTGGCATTCCAAGAGGATTTGCCTACGAGGTCCTCTCTCATGCTCAGCAGTCTGAGATCTCTTTTATCGCACCTGGAATACGTCTACCGAAAGTGGAAGAATTTCTTCAGCAGCCATTCAAGCATATCAAACAGCAATTCCCGAAAGAGACTGTGGGGATGAAAGCTCCGTTTCTCTTCTTGCGATGCCCAGGCACCGTCAGCGCGAAGGAGGCGAAGTTCAGATATCCATTTTCGACGGTGGAGTCTGTTCCGTGTGGTCTCTACCTCGATGCCTTCCCCAACGCCCAAAACCCGTTCGAAGACGCTTGTCGGCTCATATTACCCATTCGTTTGGGCGATAGGCGATATGCACGAACATCCGACGGCCGATCCATTATCAAGAGCCACTGCGATCTTTACCAAACGGGGATCAACCCCTTCGTCATGCGACATGGACCCAAGCTGGCCGCTGTACTGGAGAACTGGCTGAAGCACATCGAGACCGGGCATTGGAGCGTCAACTCCAAAGGCGTGGAAGGCGGGATTGGCGTCTGGCGACAAGCCGACTCGAGAGAGCATTGGTGGAGATACCAGGGCGAGCATCTCGTGGTCTGATTGATCCTTCGATACGATAGTCTGGATTGCATTTCCTACATGGGTTACAGTCTATTCTAGAAGCATCCGCTAAAGCCATAGTAGCCAACGCCCAACACTCGATGCATTCATTCATAATAGGGTGGCCCTTCTGGCATCTGTACACCGAATCAAAGACTGAAACCCGAAAATGCTCCAAAAACCCCACACAGCCGTTCCCTCGTCTCCAAATCGCCATGCATAAACCCATCAAAGTCATCAAATCGTCAAAATCGTCTTCGAACTCACCACGCCAAAATCTCCTTCTGCACTCCACACCCCAACCCCTTGCAAATCTCCAAATCCTCATGACTCACCCCAGCCTCCTCAGGCAACTTCTGCCTCGCGGGCCAAATCTCCCCACCGGCCTTCTTCTCCCGCTGGAAGTGCTCCGTGATGACATCCCTCACCTGCTGCTGGAAGTACAGCGGGCCCTTCTCCCAGCGCGGGTGGAGTTCCCCGGCGACGAAGACGCCCGCGTTGAGGTTCTTCTGGGCTTTCTCGCAGAGTGCTTTGTCTTCGGACATGACGCGCGCGTAGGTGTCGGCGATTTCGTGGAAGTCTGCGTCCGAGGAGTGTTTGTTGCGGTAGACTTCGTAGTGCATGGAGCAGCCTATGGGGGAGTTGGGGAGGAATTTTTGGATCATCATGAAGTGTGGGCTGCCCACAATTATCAGTATCTCATACAGAGGCAGATCTTGGGTGGGGATAGTCACTTACCTGACGGACATACTCGTGTTCGGGAAGTAGTACGTCGAATTCACATCAAACCCCCTCGCAACCTGCTCCGGCGTCGGCGCCTGATCATGCTGAATATGCCCATCCTTGCCCACACAATCATGACTATCAATCGTGAGGAACGTCGGCACATCCGGATGCGTCGTCTTGCAATGATAGCACTCGTTGAAATTATCCGACAGAATCTTCCAGTTATACTCGCCCTCCATGCTGTACGAATTATCGAGCACGTAGTCGTCGAAGTTGAACTTCTCGAACCGCTTCTGCTCGTCCACGGCGTGGAATTGTTTCTCCCAGGATTCTTCCGGTTCGGCGGAGGCGTCCATGTTGATCCAGACGAAGCCCTTTTTGTCGATTTTCGTGTGGATGGGGAAGAGGCTGTTCTTTTCTTTGTCGAAGCCGTCGAGGAGGTCGTAGGCTGGGGCTTTGGCGAGTTTGCCGTTCAGGCCGTAGGACCAGCCGTGGTAGCGGCAGGAGAGGATATTTTTGCGGCCTTTTTCCTCTTCGACGACTTGGTAGGCGCGGTGGCGGCAGACGTTGTGGAAGGCGTTGATCTTGTTAGTGCGGTCGACGATGAGGATGAAGTCGAAGTTGGCGACGGTGTAGCGGAGGAAATCACCGGGTTGTTGCAGGCGGGACTTTTGCGTGATGAACATCCAGCGTTTGGAGAAGATGGCTCGTCGTTCGAGTTGATACATTTCCTCTGTTGTGTACCATGGCGTTGGCAAGGCGCGGACGGCCTCCTTTCTTGGCTGGGGTGGTTGTTCGGCCTCGCCGCCGCTGCCGTATGTGAAGAAGCTCAACAACTTAGACATTGTGTTGTATCGATCGATTGTATTGTTGTTAGGATTGGAGTTCGAATCGATTCAGGTCCTACCTTTCTCAAACCCCATATCCTACCGCAGCCATCGATTGATATATCCATCATTGACCACACTTCTGAACACGGGAACGCAGCACCATAAGCGGTATTCGGCTCCATTCCCCAACTCGCCGTAGCTGGTACGAGCGGGAGGACTAGACGATTGATCACAAGAGGTCCTTGATCCCTGCAACATTCCCGATCCGGCAGGTCAACGCTGAAATCTTGCCCGATCAGGAAAGATGGGCAGATTGAGGCTCTATCGGCATTATCGCTCGCCGTCATGCTGATGCGCTGTGCTACGGCTTTTCGTTGGTATCACGGTCATGAGAGGTTGTTGATAACATCTTTCCCCTTGTTGGCCGCAGTTGCGGCGGGCGGTGAGATGCCATGGTGGATAGCCGTGGAGCGTTGTCGTAGGCTGATGTCCTGTTTGGGGAATTTATCAGAGTGCGGATGTTGGGCAGTAACTGATAGCAGGACAAAGTTACCACCCCGAGTTGTTGATATCTCTTGGGTATGACTATCGATCATGATTGCGAGTTGGAGTCCGTTTCCAAGATTTGGCTTGGGTTGTTATCGCGAGGCGGATCCAGCCGGCTTCGTGGCAAGATCAAGGTTGAGGGGTCGAGGGGAATTGAATTTGCTTACCGCAAGGAAACGATGCCTGGCTTTGTGAAGATGACAACCCCAAACCGATCTTGTTTTCCATACAAGTGTTGACCGTGAACCTCAGCTGACCCCCGAGCGGGCTGCGGTCCGCGATACCGTAGAACTAGCGTGAAAAGTCTAGACCGTCAGGTGAGTATAACACCAGGTGACCGCCCCCTCCCTCTAGTTCATGTTCAAGTAGCATCGAGGGGACGCAAACCATCTTACACACCCGAGTCGTGCTGCTCGAGGTTCGTCGCTTCGTCATACGCAAACCATTTAGCGCAGCTGTCCCTGAGCGCAGTCTCATTGTATTGCTCCGCGATCTCATCGATGCGTTCGACGAATTGGAGCGCAAATCCTTCAGAAGTGTGCCATCCAATGTGACAATGTACTAGCCTGAGGAGTAAAAAAGTCAGCTTTGAGGACATGTGAGGAGAAACCGAGCTCACTCACCACGCTCCCGGGTTGTCTGTCTCGAACCCAAGGATAATGAAACCGGCACCTGGCAACATGGCCACGTCACGCCTCGGTGGGTTGACGGTCTGCAACGGAACGTTCGATGAGTATGTACCCGGGCCGGACGCCAAGATCCAGAAGTCATGGCCGTGCAAATGGATAGGATGAGGTGCAGTGTTGGCTTGTTGGATGATCAGATACCTATGTAGATACACGTGGTCAGTGGAAGTCTTCATCTCAAGGTATTCGATACTCTTACATCCATTCATCTGCATTGGGAAGCTCGATGACGGCCTGCTGTGTTTCATAGGTGTGGTCCTCGTTCAGAATTTGAAGCGCTGTTGGATCCTCCCACTCCGAGAAGAATGTGATGTTGTTCTGTGGACGTCAGTGATGTAACAGCGCTTTGTCTCAATTTCTGAAGCTTACCAGTTACCATTTGAACACGTTCGTTCCAGGAGCGATCCCAATTGTAACGTTGCGTTCGGCGCTAACAACACCAGAGACACCAGCATCCTTCTCAACAACAGGCACCAAGCTGGCAAGCGGTGGATCCTGGCACGCAAGGAAGCTGTTGTCTGATGTCCATGGAGATGTCGTTGGAGTACCCGTGCTGTCGCCATAGTGGATGATTCCCTTGATGTCGTCTGGGTTCTGGTTCACTGCACTGCAGACGTTGTCAGGCACTGCTCGTAGCCAAAAGTCACTAGCAATAGCCTCCTGGTTGGCAGTAAATATGACATCGTATCGTTGACCGGCACCAAGACCAATGACATCAGTCTCGTATGGGACAATTGGAACGAAGTCAGTGGCAATGACTTGAAGAGTGTGGTTGTCGATCGAGAAGGCGAAGAATGTGTCGACCGATGGATTGACGAGTCGAAGGCGGTAAGGTCTGCCTGCTTCCACAGAAGCCTCCCAACGAGATCCTCCGTCGCCGAAAATGTTGGTTCCGTTGATGAGGCCGTTGGCCATTGGTGGTGGTCCTTGAGTCTCAGCAATTGAGTAAAGTGAGCTTGCCGTGTCATGGGTCCAGTCCTGGAGGAACATGCTCCCGAGATCGACGTCGTAGTTTGCTGATGCTGGGCCGTGAATGACGATTGGTCCAAAGACACCGTCCCATGCCTGCACAGCAAAGTGAGAGTGGTACCTATATTTTGTCAGAATCATGCCCCTTTGCTGTTGTTTGACGTTGCTCTGAGGGAGGGTCGACTGACCAGCTTGATCCATATTGCGTTGCCCTCCACCTGTAAGTCACAGTCTCGCCTGGTGCGGTGGGGCATTGCGTGATGCTAGGTACGCCGTCTTCTGGGTTTGTCCAATTCTGACGAATGCCGTGGAAATGGATGCCGGTGCTACCCAAGTAAAAGTGTATCAGCAATCGTCCGTAATTACCCAAGCAAATCCTCCTGTAGACTCACCCATTGTTTTCAAAGTTGTTCTTGAAGTGAACCACGACTTCGTCCCCCCAATTTGCTGGCAAAGTTAGCCAGAAGGTTTGGTGTGGGAGGGACATGCGTTTTCTTCTTACCTTCAATGACAGGCCCAGGCATGGTCCCATTCACAGTCAAAACAATCTTGGGCACACCGTCTGGGGAAAGGGTAGTGTTCACCATCTCGAAGTAGTATTCCACAGTTCTGCCGGTGTTGGGAACTTCAAGATACCAATTGGTGTCAATCGAGAAATCACACCAGGAACCTCGGTCGCTGGCAGTGTTGCCAGGACATCCGCCTATGCTATTGGTGCCGTTGTTGTTGCCAGAGATGGTCTGCCTCTTGTGCCATGGCTGGGTTTGAGGTGCCGTGACAGCGCGTTTCGCCCATCGGGAAGGGCCAGGACCGTAAGGGTAGCGTGGACGAACGTGAGAAGCAGCCCAAGCTATGTTGAGCAAGGATAGGCTGCAAATAGCTGGTAGATAGAGAAGCATCTTGAAGGCTCGAAACGAAGGGCTATTCAAGTTCTGATGCTGTCAAGTTTGTTGAGGCGAAGGCCAGGTCTTGTATCTTTGGAGCGTGCTGCTTTCGTACCCGTCCGATCATACTGAATGATGAAGCGGATTCTCGACATTTTCGTGATGCGTTTCAATCCTCGTCGAGCTGGCGCGGCTGAAGTCCATCGCATATTCGCCATGTCTGCTCCGTCGGATGCGAATGACCTCGCCTACGAAATGTTACTGGCATTCTATTTCGAGCCTCAAAGGATGAAAAGGGGAAGTGCTGTAGACCACATACCTGCAGCGGTTCGAGGCGTGTCGCGTGGATGCACATGTTGTCGTCGTTGTTTTCGTAGGCGAAAATCGAGGCCATTGCAATTGCCACCGGGAGTATGGAAAGACGTCGTCCGGCTTAGCGTTTGAGACTATGCAAGGGACGAGAAGTATTCTGCTGACAGTTGCAGACGGGAAATGTTGAAGAGAAGTGGGCCAGGTCGGGCTACAATCCAGCGAAGACGAGAGTGGATTGCCAGTCATGGACCTTGAAATATGTGGGCTGGACGTTGTAGGAATCATTTGTGAACGGGACCACCTGGACCGAACGCGCATTCTCTATCTTGGTCGACAAATGAGGCAGTGAAGCTTCCGAAGACCATGTCGGTTGTTCTCCTTAGCAGCAGCTTTCGTCAGGAGCGATGCCGATGAGTTGTCCTTCGTGGAATAGCGTCGTCGCATGAGGCACGGAACGGCGAAAACAAGACACGATGATCTCGACGGGCAGCCTTACGCCTCTTTCGCTTCACCCTGTTTCGCCCCATACTAGGTGCCAAGGGTACATTATCGTCCATCTAGTAATCGCTGCCATCGGTAGCGAAATCGGGCCGCCTTGAAGCGATAGGACGTTCAATTCAGGACCATTCCTTCGCGCGGTCGTGGAGGGCGATATCGTGATGTTAGAGGCAGTCCTTCCGCGTGTTGGAGTTTGAGAAGAGGTGAGGTCGACGCCGATGGTCTGAGCTTCTGGATGTAGCACTTTGTGCTTCCACACGGTGCCTGTCACAGCTCCGCATAGTGGCTCTTTGCTGCATGAGCATTGACCACGTTTCTCAAAGTCGGTCCTGGAGACGAAATCTACTTGGCGTGCTCGACGATGTTCAAAATCGTACACTGATACCAGGCCATTGGAAGGAGTGAATCGTGGTTTCGTCCAGCATGATCGAAGGTCAGGTTTTCCATGCATCCTCCCGACTGTCGCTTACAGTCGCGTTCTCGATATTGTTGGCCAAGCATTGGCACTGCTGTGTACCAACGTGCTTTCGGGTGTGGTGCATCGTCCGCAGGTCCCGTACGTTTAGGGCCGCCGGCAAGAGCAGCGCTTTCGATCCGAAGCAATGACTGCATATGCACATTCAGCCTGGTCGCCACGTGGCTGCATGTAAGATTTCAGGCACACGCAGGAACCGTAATGGAGGCACCCTTGCAAATGTGCTGCCCGTGGTTCTATGTCCGGATTGGATCTTGGCAAGGAGCTCCATGGGACAGCAGACGCAAAGTCGTATGTCTGCTCACGGAGAAATTAGAGGCCCTGTTCCGAAGCTGATGCAGAACGCGTACGTTGCTGCAAGTCGAGAAGTCTTGCTGTTGTCGTGAACAAAGCGAACAGGTCGAGCAACACAAAGCACGTGTAGAACTCTATATCATGTCGTCAGTCCCTTGGGGGAACGCATGTTGGTCACCGTTCTACTCACCCACGTACACGACGACGTCCGATCCTTCAAGATGTTTCTCCCTATCCTTTCCAGCGCGTTTGCTTTGGCATTATTCGCAATCAACGCCAACAGCGCAGCGCTTTCCAATCGTCAAGCCACCACGGAAACCGTTCTTGGTTCGTTCTATGCCTATGGCGAAGGCGTCGATGGTCTGCCCGTGTTTTGGTCCGATGAGACAGCTTTCATTGGGCTCCAGCCACCTGAAGATTCGACGACTGCTGCGAATGTTACATGTAAGCATGCAAGTATTATGTACAAAACCTCCACTTACCGATGTTAGTCCACGACGAATCTGACAGCACCACTCTTACTGTGACGGCGAACGACACCGAAACATTGTCTGCTACGACCTTCTTTGTCGACAACTCCGCCGGCGCTTTCGAACCAGCCGGCTTTACGAGCACTCCTGAGAGCGCCGACGAGCTTGTCACCTCGGGATTCATTGTCTTTGGAAATCAGCTCGTCTTGGTCGATGACACTGGCGCCTTGGAGCAACTCTGGTGGGCCGTGCCCACTGCAACCGATGGAGTTTGGAGCTTGCGCTGGAATGTTGACACTGTGACGGATGACAACGCAGTCCCGGTGGTCGTTAAGAACGTGGCTCCTGTTCCGATCGGAGTTGGAACTTCTTAGTTAGCAGAGAAAGGACAGGGTCAGTCATAGGAAGTGGTGGGACATTGTACACGGGAAGATGTGATGTGTGGGTGGAAGAGGTGCCATTGAAGCTGCTAGAATGGATCGTAGGTCATTCGCTTGCACATCATCAAGGCAAAATAAAACATGACCTCGTCGTATCGTGCTGTATCAAACCGTACCGACGATGACTGGACTCTTGCCCAGCCATTCGCCTTTTGTAGAAGCCATATAGCTTCGTGTTCCTCGAATTGCTTAGTCTGGGCGCCTGTGTGCGTCTTCTGGCATGTTGAGAGCGCCGGCGGCGATAGGAAGGATTCTCAAGACGATGGACAGAGGTAGGGAAATAATGGGAGGATGGGAGCTTGAGCTTGATGATGGGCCGGCAATATCTCGGGAGCCGCGACGATGACGCCAATCAAAATAAAACGCGCTTCTCGCGCGTTGATCCTGCTCGCTCTTTCGCTGCCGGACTTTCTTCCTCCTTTCACCAACACATGATGATTCGTTCCATTGTCAAATGAAAGCCCAGAGCGAAAACGCCACGGCGATAGTTGGAACGCGAAGGAGGATTTGATTTGAAAGCTCGCAATATACTGAACTGGGATTCGCTAACATAGCAGTAGACTCGTCACTCGACATTCTTTCAGACACACATACACTTTGACACAAAAGAAATATTCGTCCATCCACCCGACACCATGAGAAAACTTTCCAAAGGGTATCACACACTGCCAAAATTCGCTCATCAACGCTGCCACAACGCCATTCGCTTTCAATATCTCAAGAGAAACACTTCACTACTATCGAAGTATCAGTAAAAGTGCTTTCGATCGAATGGATGGGCTACATGACTTACACTTTCCTTGTCCTCGTCTACCTGATCAATCCTCTCTTGATTCGGCCAAAGGTTGCGGAAAAGCGGCTGGAAGTTGACATTTGAGAGGCAGCAGAGGATGATCGCAGCGGTGTTGTTGTTCCACTGGACATTGTCGAGGAGGAAGAACCACTTCTTGCCATATGGTCCTTTGGGTAGTAGAAAAGAGAGATCGGGCCTGGAGCAGCGGTGGCGACGAGAGGCAACATGATGACTGGATTCGAGATCGATGCGTCTGACTCCCTCGAGTGCACTCTGTGCGAGCCGGAGACTGATATATAGAGGAGTTGTAGGATGGACGAACGGACCCGAAGGAGTATCAGATGCGAGCTGATGGGAAGGTGAGATGCTTGGCAGATGTTGTTGGGAATAGGAGTCGATGAGGAATTCTGCACCGGCGCTGATAAATGCGAGTTTGATGGACTTTCTAATCTTCGTGTTGTTCCTGTGGACGATGGCGAAGCAGTCAGCTTATTTTATGTTCGCTCAGCGATGGGGAGAATGCCATCATCGGCAACTATTCGCAGTCGCACAGGCATCCGAATTGTTCAAGGCGTCAGGAACTGTCCATGGCTTTGAAAGCTGGCATGCATCGCATTCACAGCTGAAGAGAGTCAAACTCGTCGCCAACCAGGCTGCTGCTTTACTTTATTGCGAGCAGCGAGCACGGGGATTGGAGGTTATCGAGCTGCCTCTGCCCCCACATGGCTCCCGGCCGTAGGTGGCTGAACTGTTGCTGCAGCTCCTCAGGCACCGGCTTTCCAACCATTTGTCGGCAAATTTCGCCGCAAAGGCCGAGTTGAGCGCCTGTTGCGAGATCCAAGCCTAGCTTTTGCAGTATCCATCATGTTTCGCGATTACGGGTAGGGCGATGGAAGAACAAGGATGCAGACGATGTCGGTGTTGGTTGAGAGGCGGTGCTTATTTTAGGACCGCCCTAGGATTACTAACTCGAAGGACGACATCACCTCTTACTTTTCGAGCCCTCTCACTCTTCTTTTCACCACCGACACCGATGCATAATCATCAGGATCGCCACGCAGCATCTCGGGCCCGGTCAGCCCTATCCTCGTGGATCTCGGTAGGAATCGCGAGACTCCACGTGAAATAGGGCCACGAGCGTCCGCGAGATGCGTGAGATTCAACGCTCGGGCATACTACCGCTTTCTCTTCTCTATCTGGTATGTCAGCCCGGATGTGTCTGATATGTCTGATACATAAGCACAGCTCTCTCGCTCAGGGCATAGAGCTGAGGCAAAGCATATTCCGCTCACAAGACCGGCCTAAGTCGCGTGTGGGCATTCCATCTCGACTGCTCAGTTCGGTGGATCAACAAGGCATCTTTGCATCAATCTACGTGAGAGACAAACGCAGACCTTCGCCTTTTCTCCTCGACGTACCAACGAAGCCCTCTGATTACAACAGGCGATGCATATCCAGCACGGGTACATTGGAGCAGGTGGCTACTCTGCGAGCCTAGAAAAAGCATACAGCGCCCTGTACCTCCATACAACCACCTTCGAGCAGGCCTCACAGCTCACGGCGACGAGAGACCGAAGCCAATTTGGACCGAGTTGCGTACAGAACGAATGCGAGAAATGAAACACGAAGAGGGTCCCAAGGCTCGTCAACAATATGATGGACTTCACTGGAGCTATATTCGTCGCTGATATAGCTGACCTTCACATGGCCTGCAGCATCCTCAGAGCCTCTGTCCGCGTTCCAACCTTGGCCATTTCACCCTCAGCCGAACGACGTATCAATTCGCGGTAGCCAGCTTGTAGTCGAGATCGACCTTCTGAGACTCAGTCGATGCCAAGAACGTTACAGCCTTGGCCGCCTTCCCTAGCGTGAAGTCGATTTCGTTTGGATTGTACAACGAGGACCAACCCCACCCAGGCGCGGTGTCTGCATACACAGTCCGAGTGCTGTCGAGAACCGTCATGTCGTAGATGGTGCCGTTGTTTACGGTAACGACGTATTTGTACCTGTTGCGGAAACTCAGCATGACCTCAATACGACGCAAGTTTAGTTATCGACTTACTTCCCGGCGGACAGGTCTCCCGCGCGCAGCTCAAATGTCTTGGTTTGCCCGTTTCGCGTGGTCAAAGTAATTCCTCCTGGGCAGGATCAGTAACTCACGCTGGCTAGATGCCACCTCTTTGGGATTATGTGCTTACCTTGCGTTATTGTAGTCTGCTTCCTGGACAGCTTGATGGCTTCTGCACCTCTGGCTATCGAGAACACGGCCAGCAATGCGACCAACGATTCCGTTGCGAACTTCATTTTGCGTCGACGAAAGCTGGAAAACCGGCAAAAGCGACAGTGTCAAACCGTACATGGCATGTGATCTCCAGGTCAAAGTATCCTCTGGACTTTAAGACCATGACCATCCCTTCAAAGCCAAAGTCACGAGGCGCCGCCAGCCTGCAACATTCTTTGTTCAAATCACGGCCGGGAAATTTTGGCTTGCGAACACAATGGGTATTGCTTGGCGAATCGCACTAAGATCGATCTCGTCAAAGCAGTCCTTTGCATTATTTGGCACTCTCAGGAGAAGCAATGTCTCTTGAAAGAGACCGCGAGAAAAGGCCAACAAAGCTCCTGCCGCATTCGGCCTAGTGGAAGTGGCCTTTTTCGACTTCACCTCCTAATTGTTAGCATCACCAGCATGTTGCTGGCCCTGCAATTTCACCACTACAACTCGCATTGTTGGTCATGCGGAGCTCGCCAGGCTTCACATTTCGGAATGCCTCGAAACTGCTGCCGGCTGACTTGACCATCAAGCCATGGATGATGATAGCTTGGCAAAGACCATCACCGGCTGCGGATTGCTTGGAAAAGGGAAATGCCTATCGATCTCCGCAATCTTTGACAAACCGGCGGATTGCGCTCGGCCCTGCCAATGTCCTTAACGGACACGAGCCTTGGCCTTTCCACGTCTGTCTTGATTTCCTTAGCTGACACTGGCATCGACAGCCTCGTGTCGACCAGCATGTATACCATGGACGTCGGCTCGATTACGACAATTACTTGGGGCTTCCCGGCATACACGCTCGACCATTGAGGCTTTACCTGTCTCTCTGTTACCGGCCGACGCAACGCCATGATCGTGGCATAAAATGTATTCGTCGATCGGTTGTGGACTATTGCAGGACATCGAACCGCTACTTGCCTGCCGAGCTATTAAAGTCGTTGGGGGTCAACTGTGTCACGCTTACTGGAAGGAGTCACTATGGCTATGACTGGCGGCGCAGACCCAATCCTGAAGGTATTATGGCGAAGCTCACGACACTGAGGTGGATGTTTTGGCTGAATTGGGTTTCCATCAACAAGCGACGTACCGTCAATCTAACCGGTCGGATTGACAAATGGAACAAAGGAGCAGTCAGTGCCATCCATTTTGCAATCTTCTTCCCTTGACCAAGAAAGATTGAGGAGTATGATCTGATCAAGCAAAGATGGAGTGACACCGACTTCGTTGGCTGTTTGCGTATGCTTGCGAATTCCGTCATGGTCTTCTTCGATATCCAGGGGTGAGGCTTCGGCGCCTATGCCTCGTCGTCACCATACATTGTCTGCACGCCGACGCTGAGCTCTGTATCTGGAGTGGCGCCCTTGGTGCGGGAGTGGCCAATTGCGAAGAAACGAGGGGATGGGATGGCAGCAGTCATGCCAATGCGAGTTGTTACTAGCCGAGTCATGCCGGCCGGTATTCTGTGAGCAGATCGCAGCCATCACTGGGAATCTGGTCTGCCGACTAGGCCGTAGGTCAATCTCCACGGGTTCTCCTCGCTTCTCATCATCTTCAGCTTGCCTTTGCGATTTGAATGTGGCCAGTCCCTGACCTACAGGCATTCACATCCTTCCATCATGGACTGCGATTGCCCTTGATTCCGCTCCGGGAGGCCTGTCCAGCGCTGGGCGGAGCGAAACATTCTACACATTCCTGGCCGCTGCAGTATTCATGTTGCTAGGGTGGGTCTTGCTTTTCAAGCTGGACGAGTCCTTCGAGCCATAGGGGCAAGCGCATGGCTTTCAAATGAGGATCATTGATTGCGTCTCCAGGTCTCCGTACTGACTAACATTTAACAGATTCGAGCAGGTTTCGGTATTGGAATATTATTGTGGGCCGTCACCATGATGACTTCGTGAGAAAGTCGTTTTCAAGGACCTTAGTCGACAACTTTCGCGTTTTCTTAGACTCTTGGCGGACTCTGACTCCAGATACCTGTCGCCCAAGGATCAGTGACACAAGCTCATTTGCCGTGAGTTCTTCCAATCAAACTCAGGCTGGCATAGCAAATATTGGAGCGCGAGAGGAAGGAGAAGGAGAAGGTGCAGGTGTAGGATTGATTGATGGAGCCTCATGCCATCAGAGTGCGATGTGGTACTATGAGAGATTCAACATCGCTATATCATTGCTTCGCCCAACGACGGCGCATAGTAAAGCGTTTCCAAACGTTTTCAGCAGAACATGGTATCTCTCAGGGGCCAACAAGGAGCTCGTCGTACTGAACGAGCACATGCATGTATAGGAGACAGCTGTTAGCCGTTGTCGGCGAACAAGGCACAAGTAGAGAACGCTCCCGTCTCCCGAATAAAATGTGAAGCCTATAATTTCCTCGGCTCGACTTTCGGAGATGGCTACTCCTCAAGCCAATCCTTCGTGTCATTTCGCATTTCTTGCAAAAGATTGGTACCCTTATTCTTTTACGATCTGCCAAGCAAGTTGTCTGTTCGTCGACCAAGCCGTCTTTCCAGAGGATCGTGGAGAGCGAAGCGACGTGAGGTGAGGTAAGAGGCACAGAGGAATCGTTTCGCCGAGGCAGTTGGTCACAAGAGCTCGTTTCTTCGCTCTCCTCTTTTTTTCTCGAATGTATCTTTGTACCTCCTAGAGACCTCGCTTCCACTTGCCCGGTGGCTTGGATTAAACGTACAGTTGGCACGTTTCGAAAAGGGTGAAGACCGTTGCCACGTGGAAATATTGATAAGGCGCGTTGTGTGATGTGATGGTTTGTCAAACGTCTGGAATTCAGGGTCAATCAAATTTCAACCAATGCGCGGGGTTAAAATTGGAGATGTCACGTGAGCTTGAGCATGAGTCTCGTGAAGAGGCATTCTTCGAGATTATGTTCATTAGGTAGTCTGTCTTGTTCCTATAGCCGTCTGGACGTCCCTTCAACTCATATATCTCGTAGGCTGGCTGTGAAGCGCGCGCACACGACCCCAGAAGTCTCTGTAGTTGTTGGTTGGGTATTAAGATCAAGGTCCTGATGTTTTTTGGGTTTTGTTGCGAAGAAGCGTCTGATCCATCCCTGCCCGTATTTGCGATCCTTGCCTTGTCGCACGAGGAAGGTCCTGTACAGTTCCCTTTTCTTGTGGGCGGAATTTCGTGTCATCTTCACTCCTCTCTTCCAACATAGAGACCACCTATCCAGCCAGCCATTCCCGGTTCTCTCAACACCAGTAAATATTTACAGCGCCGGACGCGTGAAAGAAGATTGAGCTCTCCGGAGTCAGCTCAAATGCAGCCCAACCAAGCAAGCAGCCGGAACACCCGCCCAGATTTCCCAGATCTATTACCGCTCGCCCAACGCCTATGTACATGATGAGTGACTCCATGATGCTCGCGTCGCAGGAAACGAAGAATTAAACAGGACTTCGCGTGGCTTCACTATCGGGCTGCTGGCGGCTCTACAAGGCCTGCTGCTGGGTCTTGAGCAGCTGCTGGCGCCGGTGGTTTCGCAGGTTTCTCTGCCGCTTCCTTCTCGGCGCGCTCTTTGGCAGCGGCCTCTTCTTCGGCCTCCCGCTGCGCGTCTTCGGCTTCTTTTTGCGCCCTTTCGGCCTCGACCCGCGCGTCCTCGAGCATCTTCATCTTCTCCTCGTCCGGAAGCTGCGCGTACAGAGCCGTGTTCTCGTCCCACGCGTTCACGCACTCGGTGACCCAGTTGCAGCGCTCGACTTCGCCGTAGAGAGGGTGGCTGTAGCGGGGATGGGCAGTTGGCCACCCGGACGCGTGGTAGTGGTGTCTCACCAGAGCTTGGCGTCCATCGTGGGTACCGGAATCAGAGTGTCCTTGGCCAGCGGCAAACGCTTCAACAGTCAGTACCAAGATACCGCCAGTCAGCTTCGATTCGTTGATATCGTGGAATTCATCCCACTTCACTTCCCGGCCAGTTCGTCTTGACATCTCGCTCAGGACGGCGTTGGTGAAAGCTGAAGGACCGGTACCGCTGATGACCTGGTCGAAATCCAGTTCGATTTGGGAGATTGGCTTGTTCTGCTCGAGGGCGACATTTCGCAGCCACATCATGATGTTCTCAATCAGCTTGAGCATCACTGGTTGACGGGGCTTGCTCATGAATGTCCACTGGCAGAAAGACATGCATTTAGAGCCGAGAATGGGGTGCTCTTTGAAGTCTGGCTGGTCAATTTCAACGCCAATCACAAGATCGACGTCCTTTTCTTGCCACCGGGTTGGAATGAAGTGATCCGCTGATTTGAGGGCCTCAACGTCGATATCGGTGTAGATGCCACCCTCGACGTACATGATCATGTATCGAAGTAGGTCGGCCTTGATGATGCGGGCGCTCAATTCGCGGTACATGAAGACAATGTCAGGTCGGTTGAGACCTTGTGGGCCGAAGTGTGTCTCGACGTATGCCATGTCGTTCTGATCCGTCAGAACTTCGTATCGGTATTCGGGGTTCTTGGTGATCCACGTCTGTGCGGTGTTGTGATCCCTCTCTTCGAACCGCATGGGGTCCACCTTCCATGTCTGCCAGATCTTTCGAGGAAATGATGGTTGCTTGTGTTCGAGCAGCTTCGGTACTGCGCTGGGAATGTTGCCGGAGAGGAAGAAGAGGAAAAGTAGCGCCGCGCATACTGGGAGGAGGATTCGTTGTATCTGCTTTGGAACTCCGATCTGGGGGACTGAGGCGAGCAAGTCCTTTGGAGTCTTTGGACTGCCCAGCCTCATCTTCTCGGGATCGCTGGTGCGAGAGGCAGTCCGACCCATGACTGCCGCTGGGGAGGTGGTAACGATTGTCTGTTCGGACACACTTCCTCTCTACAGAGGAAAGGAGGGCATGCGACAACGAGTGAACAAGACGCGCGAAGGAGTCCAGGCGGTGGATATTAGGAAAACGTCATGCGCGATAGGGCCTGCAAATCTCCTCACCCTGCAATTTTGCTGGATATCACGGACAAGGGAGACGAGAGAGCGCATCGGGACCAGTCGAAGTCAAGTTGCTATTAGCTGGGCCACCAACGCACAGCGGATTGCCCAGCCGAGCAGCAGCAGGGCTCGAGATGGCTGGCGCCGTTCAACAACCATCGTATTGACCAACGGCGCGCGACCGAGGCTTTCACGCCAGAGGTGGCGATCCGTTCACATGCGTGGCCAGTCGCCGCGGACGCAGAGCAGCGTAAGCCTCGGACGTGGCGGACGACTCTGCCACTTACCATGGGCGCCTCTTCTTCTACCAAACTACCGCAAAAGACGGCAGGGTCCGCCATCCTGTGTGCGGGGAGTGGCTGCAGATCAGATAGCAGCGACATTGCATTCGTTGCTAGCCGACGCAGGCACCCACTTGCCATGGCATAGCGTGGTGGAGGCGACGCAGGAACGCACCGCACCTTGATTTGGCAACACGCTGCAGTGAGTCGCTGCAAGTTGCACCGTAGCGTCGCATGATTCGCCCGCGCAACGCCTCGCCGCTCTGCACGCAGATTGGGTGAGCAAAGTCAATCTCCCAATGAGGCATAACGGTCGCTGCTCGCAACCGCCGAGGTGCCAACCAGCGGATCGCGCTCGTCCAGGAGCAAGACCGCTTGAAGCTACACCTCCGACAACGAGCGATGGTCTGGTCCGGCGACCCGCTAACGAGCTGTCCCCGCCATTTCTTGCAGACGGCCATTTACGATTACACTCTTGCTCCTCTCTCCAAGGCATACCAGTCAGTCTCATCAGAGCCGCAACCACACCTGGGCCAGGCTTTCATCACTTGACCACATCTTAGTTGATGTGCCTTCTTCGCTGCTCCTAACCACCCGGTCGTTTTGAGCAGCAGCATGGGAGAGACGCAGGAGAAGAGACTGGGCCTGCTGGAGCAGGGCGAGATGGAGGTAGACTCAGATTCCACCCTCAACGAAGACGACAGGCCGCCAACGCCGGTCGCGAAGACCAGGGCACAACTTGCACAGCTCCTCGAGTTTGGAGCATCGAGAGTCGCCATGCTCCGACCTTCCTTCCTACAGGTCAAAACCACCAAGACCACCAAACTCCGGCGGACCGCGTACCTGGACGGAATCAGAGGATTTGCATCACTCCTCGTATACTGTCTGCACCATCAGCTATGGGCACACGCCATCCAGGGTGGCAGCATCAAGCTTGAAAACACATGGGGATGGGATGGCGAATACTATCTCGGCGCATTCCCCTTCATTCGCACATTCTTCACCGGCGGCCATTACGCTGTCGCGGTCTTCTTCGTGCTCTCTGGCTACGTCTTGGCTTATAAGCCTTTGACGCTCATTCAGGCCGGCGAGCACCTGGCCCTCGGCGATGCCCTGGCATCTGGACTCTTTCGACGATGGCTGCGACTTTATCTCCCAATTCTGGCAGTCACATTTGGCTTCTTGTTAATGCCCCATCTATTCGGCGTTTCATCCGACTTCCGACCGCAATCGACCCTCGGGGCCGAGATCTGGAAGTGGTATTGCGATCTCAAGAACTTCACTTTCATCTGGAACATGGGAGGAGAAATCATTCTGGACTACCAGAAGCACGTGTGGTCAATTCCGGTCGAGATGCGAGGCTCAATCACCATCTGGACAGCCGTTCTGGCGTTCTCGCGCTGCACGAAGAATGCGCGCCTGACTTGCGAGGCCTTGCTTGTGTTTTACCTCATGTACATTGTCGACGGTGCTCACTTCGCCATGTTCACGGCGGGCATGTTACTTTGCGATCTGGATCTCCTCGCTCATGACGGCAAGCTGCCCAAGTGGATGTATTCCCTGGAGCCATACAAGATCCCGCTTGCCTACGTGGCCTTCGTCGTCAGCATGCTCCTTGGCGGTATCCCATCTAACTCCGTCGAACTCGAACACATGCGAAAGTCGCCCGGATGGTACTACCTGTCCTTCCTCAAACCACAGGCAGTGTTCGATTACCGATGGTTCTTCCTCTTCTGGGCTTCGGTCCTCATGGTCTGGTGCTCCGGCCGTCTTGGCTGGCTCAAGCGATTCTTTGAGTCTCGTTTCTGCCAATACCTTGGTCGCATCTCATACATGTTCTACCTCATGCACGGACCTGTTTTGTGGCTGGTTGGAGACAGAATCTACGCGGCCGTGGGCTGGGTGAACTTCTCGCACGCGCTCACAATCCCAGGTTGGGCCGACACCTTTCGCCTTCCGAAGTGGGGACCTTTCGGCTTGGAGGTCTCGTTCATCATCCCGCAGCTGCTTTTGTTCCCACTTACGTGCTGGATGGCTGAGCTCATGACTGCTGTGGTCGATGATCCTTCGATCAAGTTTGCGGCATACTGTTACTCTCTCACACAACCCAAGAAGGATTTGCCTTCTTCCTCGCCGTCGCGAGGCAACAACGAGCGCAAAGCGTAGACGCGTATAGATGTACGACCAGCAATGCATATAATGATTAATCGTTCAACCAACAAAGCCTACGCATAGTCATCACGTACATTATCACTCTTTACACTTCACATCGCCTTATCAGCAGAACCACAGGTGTACGATGTGATGATGGTGTTCGGCAGCCAGTAACCTTGCCACTCCTCTTCGTAAAATCACGCCTCCCTCGGCTGCGCCCAATGAACCCATGTCATCCTGCCGCTGGATGGCGCAACCTAACGGTCCAATTTAAATTCAATATCAATAAGGTTCAACTGATGCGGCACTGGAGCCACGCCTTTTTCGAATTTCAAACAGCGGCCACTCGCAATTTTTGAGGTCCCCTTGGCCTCTCAACGCTTGGGTAACGAGAGCTCCTTTTCGATGAGGAGGCTGGTGGTGCACAACTGCCGTTCGCGGTAGTTGGATTGATTTATCTCAACGAAGGAATCCGTGATCCTCTCGTCTCTTCAGGGTTCACAATCCGGACAGACCTGCGGATGGTTATCGATTGTGACGAGGAGGAGGAAGAATTCGGGTGGATCCCGCTGCACGGTATGCAGGACTAATGCGTGCTTCTCGTGTAGTGTCAATTGTTCGGCAGGCAGGGAAGCTCAAGTGCAACAAGCGGGGAGAGTGGCGATTGATTGGGGTAATGATTGCCCACCTCCACCTCGAAAATGTTGGAACTGGGAACTTGGCAGGGGACTGCGCACCACTCTGGTCGTGTCCAGTGTTTGGGCTTCCGAAAAACACCGAGGAGAGTCGATGCTGATCTGGATTGTCTCTCTTATCGCGGTCCTCAGAGGCTGGGGTCATCGAGTCCAGTGTTCGGGACGTTGTATCTGGTCCCTCGTGTTCGTGCTTGTCAAATGCACACTATTGCTGCTGACTGAGGCATCGCCGCAGGTTCCCTTTGCCTTTTTGCCCGTGGCGCGGATGGGACCGTGATTTGTCTATTCACTAGTCCTGTCGCCTGGTTTAGCTGCTGCTGCTGCTGAACGATGAGAGCTCTGCCCGCGTAGCTTTCTGGCAAGCGTGAAGAAACAGCCGAGCAATCGTGACATCTGATTTCCTGCAGCTGCGATATCAATATTCGTCCCTTTCGCGAGGCCGCACACGGGCGTTTCGCTGGATCCGCCTCGCTTTTCTCGTATCGTCCTCTATACAGATGTTGTCGCGGTGGTGAGGTGCGAATAAACACAGGTCCAGGTCCCTGCTAGCGCCACCCTTCCGCCAGCATGCTGGTCGCCGGCAAGACGAGGCTCGTTACTGTGACGGCCTTTTGTGTGATCGCGTTCATCGCGATTGCGGCCTTTACGTACAATCCGGAGCTCACAGACGAATCCTCACAATACCTACGGAAATCATGGTCGAAGATTTCCAGCGAGCAGGCGTGGTTGGGAGGAGGGAATGCGCCTACACCTCCTGGCAGCCTTCCCAAACCGCAGCCTCCCCAAGAGGCGCTGCCTTTCAACCCCGAGCCGCAGATATCGGAGCCTGACCTCCCTTCGAAGAATCCGAATCCATATGCCGCGGTGAACGAAGTGACTGGAGGGGATGTGGTGGAGGAGCACACGAGCAGCAGTTCCTCGACGACTTCCACGTCAACGAGCACAGCAGCGGCGGCAGGACTACCAACTGCGGTTGGATCCAGTGTGGCTATCCCACCAGAAGTCATGAAAGAGTATGATGAGATCACATCCCAGAGCACAAAAGATGGGAGTTACTTCAACATCAACTTCTTCGGCAACGATAATAGCCGTGCTTTCAACCCCAGCCTTCTGCCACATCCGCAACTGTTTGATACCTGGATTGCGGTAGCGCAGGCTCGGTATGAAGACAGGTCGTATCCATCGGGCTGGTCGTCGGAGCTGGTATGCAACGCGGTGTTCAACAAGGGCGGAAACTTGTCATGCACGGAGCCACCCACGGTGTTGGTGGTGCCAGCGACCCAGAGCACACACTGCAAGGACAAGCTCCTGACTCTACACATGAACATTGGGCCTCACGATGCGCGTGCCTTCTTTGGCCCCGAATACCCGTACCTCATCTACGGCACTCAATCCGAACACACCTGTTTCGGACAATGGACACAAGACTTCCGCCTGCTCATGGACTGGGGCATCTTCCGCGGCTACGACGCCTTCCAGGTCCCCACGGAGATCCAACGCCCACCACCCCTCGGCGCCATGGAGAAGAACTACTATTTCTTCTGGGACTTCGACAAAGTCCTCTACGCCCACTACGACTCCTCCCCGCACCGGGCCTTCGCCAAAGTCGAACTCGACGGCTCCGCAGGCCCCGACCTCGCCCCGCAAGTCTACGCCAAAGACGAAGCCTGCTTCAACAAACACCTCCGCCTGAACCCGCTCCCGGACCCCAAAGTCACCAAATCCTCCATCCACCAAGCCACCAACTCCCTCTCCCTCACCCTCTGCAACTCCACCGACACCTCCTGCATCCCCAACGCCGACAACACCTACATCATCGCCATCTACCAGCACAAGATCGGCAACGGCCTCATGCACGCCCGCTACGAACCCCACGTCATGGTCATGAAGCGCCGCGCCCCCTTCGAAATCCACGCCATCACCGCCAAACCCCTCTGGATCCGCGGCCGCAAGAACAAGGACGAGATGATCTACATCACGAGCATGAACTACAAGCAGAGGGGACAGACGTATACGGGGTATCTGGACGATATCATCCATGTGAATTTCGGCGTCGAGGATCGTCGCACGTCGAGTATCGATGTCAAAGCGGGCGATCTTGTGAGGAATTTGATGTTGTGCGATGATGGGACGGCTCCGGAGTCCGTGGGTGGGCCGGCGTTGTACATGGGCAGTGAGGAGAATTTGGGCACGGCGCCGGCGTAAAGAATCGGATGTTGTGCGATCAGGATAGACGAGGAGAGGAAGAACTCTGTTTTGAGAATCAGCGAGCTATGGATTGGGTTTTGCAGTCTTGACGAAAGCGAGCAATTTTTGCGCAACGCATGTATGTAGACGGGCTTGTTGAGGCGTTTAGGGGAATACCCAACACGAAATGTATGTATGTACAGGAACGATGTGCGAAGGAAAGAAGGATAATACACACCACCACCCGACCTCCGAGCAACTTTCTAAGACCTCACCAATTCGTTGGATTCACTTGCAGAATCATCACGTGAACGGTCTTGGCAGTCACATGAAAGCCCTCTTCCACCTTGTTCTCGCGAATCTCGAGCTCCCTGCAGAACTTTTTGAGAGCTACTTCAATGTCTACCTTCCCACCCAATATCTCTACCCTTACCCCCTATCACTCCCCCTCTCCTCCCTCAACATGGCCAAAAAGAACAGACTCAGACTAATCGACATCGTCAACGGCACAGAGGCATTCTGCAAATCCGCCCCGTGTCCCCAACGAAACAGCCACAGGAAGAAGAAGATTATCGCTGGGATGTTGCAGAGCAAGCCATACGCCAGCACCCATGCGAATCCTCGTCGTTCTCGTGCGTACAGGCCCCAGAAGAGTTCTCGCTTGCCGTCATCCATCTCGAGGCATTTCGCGCGTTTGGGCAGTAGGGCGATGGCGTCTCGGGCGTCGCGTATCCTCATTTTAGCTTTCCCGGGAGCTGCCAGGCGCTGAAGGAAGTCGAGATACCATCCGAAGGGATGTTGAGAGGATTTGTAGAAGCGGCCGCGGAATTCGTGGGCGGAGATGGGTCCTGCGGGCGGGGAAGGGATGGGGACGCGGGGCGTGAAGTCGTAGTCTGTGCGGGATTGGGGAGGGTAGGAGAGGGAACAGGGGGCGCCGGCGTTGATGTCGTATTTCTGGAACTGGGAAGGCGATGACAATGTCAGCAACTGGATACCTTTGCCATTTGCAAGTTGGATGCAACTCACCTGATAGAAATCGCACTTGTCGTAGCGCCACCAGGAGAAATAGCCCAGGAATGTTCCGCGCGCTTCGACGTAGTTTTTCTTCAGGGCCTGGAAAAAGTCCCCGTCGTTGCTCATTGTATGGATCTGCATGTCGCAGAATCTGTGGGAGCTGCCTCTCTTAACGCACAGGAAGACATGTCGATCGGGAGGTAGCGCCACAGTTGGTGCTTGCGGTTGAGGTAGGTTTGGTGACTGAGGTGCCGCAGCTCCGGGAGTATTTAGACCGGCCGATTGTGCTGGCAAGGCTTGTTTCCCCGAGCTGTTTATATCCGAGTGGTTGGAGGACGAGCCTGCTCCGCTCGCAGTACTCGAGATATGAGCAGGCGGTGGGCGTGCAGGAGTGCCTGTGTTGAGAAGATTGTTCACGGCGTGACTGCATATTGCCGACACATGCTGAAAAAGAGTGTTGGCTCCTTTAGATAGAACAGGAGCGGTATCCTCCTCGTGACGAGCAGTCTCAGCGTTGTGTGCAAAATGAAGGAGCTTTTGAAGCCTCTGAGCTGCGTCAGAAGTGATATCGATGTAGTGGTCATCGCCTGACGAGACCTCGTATGGCTGATGCGATGAATTCAGTATGTGCGTTGTCGGCGTTCATGTGGTTTCTTATACTTACGGAAGGCCAGAAAAGCCGCATATAACCGGGCCGCAAGGGGCGCTTCCTTTGCTTCAATGGCCACCAATCCCACGTTTCTCCGAGTGAGTCTTCGATCAAGCCCTTGATGTGGTCACTGAAGGCGAGAGAATCGTCGAATGAGATGCGGATGAGATGAACGGGAGTCCAGGATATATCCCGTCCAAGGTCCCAAGCTCGATCAGGACTGAGTTGCGTACCATCCGAATCGACAGCGTTAGAGCCAATGGCCTTGATCACCCGACACTGATGCGGTCGGTGAATGAATTCTATCACTCGTCGTTTGAGTGTCCGGTATGCGTTGCTCTTCTGAAGCCCCATACGGTGCTTGGCACTCAGCCTGGGCGGGTGTTAGCATGATATGCTGTGCTCCCTCCTTGCAAATGTTCTATGCAAAGCAAACAAAACACGTTCGGCATCATATCTCCCCTGTCCGTGAGTGGAGTGAGCCGTCGCAACATGTGTCTTGGACAGGCATAGGGATTGGATCAAGAGCTTTAGCTGTTATACGCACCTCACAGGTTCCGGAAACTCGCCATCCTCTGTAGAAGCCTCTGAGCTGGCATCGTCATCAATTTCGTCGGCATTGTACTGCTCCAGGTCACCGAGGTCAGGCCTTTGAAGACCGTCCGCAGGTTTCAGCTGCGGAGAGATGTTGTTACCGCCATCCGTTTTCGACGTTCGCGCGGCCCCCTGTTGGCTGTTTCCCTCCATCAAATTGGGCGTTGTGGAGTTCATGTGCTTGGTTGCCATCCGTTCAGCTTGCAGAGCAATCGCACGAGCTGCGATGAACGATCCACCTCGAGAGCACAGCAATCTTGCCACATACATCTGTGCCATGTCTGTTGCCTCCACCTTCATCGCCCACCCACACTGCGCAAGTAGACGTCGGATGTTTCTCTCGTATCGCTCGCGCCCTATCGCAGGATCAAGAATTGCGCGGACCTGAGCAGGTTCGAGTTCCACATCCCTGGCGAAGGACGAAGCAAGGCACTCGACGAATCGAACATGAGAGTTCTTGAGGTTTGTGTAGTGCCGAACAGAGTATGCTGAGCCCGCTCGAACTACTCCCGAGTCTACCTTGGTCTCACGCTCCTGGCGGGCAGTGGACGACCGCGACTCAACTCCAGCGGTGTCAGATTTCTTCTGCGGCATCGTGAACTCACTTTCTGCCGTATACTGAGTTCCTTCTTGTTTGCATTGTCCCTGGGAGTGCAATGTGTGCACGTTTTCAGCTCCTGAGAGCTGAGCAGTCGTGCCTTCATGAACAGAGACGCCGTCTGAATCGGCCATTGCAGGACCATCGCATAAGACCGATTCCTGATCTGCACATAAAGTCGTTCCAGTAAGCTGTGATTCCGGTGAAGGGCTGACGAAGCGCTCCAATGCTCGCTTTCTCATCCAGGAACACTGCTCGAGTGTAACTGCGATTTCGGTCTTACCATCGGACAGAAAGCCCTTGCAAGTGGGCGAGATTGACAATGTGAAACCCTGTTTGCTGATGAATGTTCTATACGCCCGAGAACCAGGCAGGAATGCGAGTTTCAAAGGCCCTGAACAGTATTCGACCGTATTATCGCTGTTCCAAGACAAAGTCTCCGCATCATAAGGGCCGTTGAAGGCGATAGAGTCCTGCCAAGGGGGCATTCGGCGGGGGTTCGGAAAAGTCGCCTTGGGCATGCTTTCACCTGGTAATGCCTCAGGCAAAAGATCCGAGCCATGAGCTGCTTTCGATTGTTCTATTTCAGGGCGAATGAACCAAGGTATTGTATGCTCGCGTTGACCTTTGACATCGTTCTGCGACGCGCGCCTTTCTTTCTTGAAGCTCTGCAAACCCGGAACCAACGGTAGGATTCGACTGCTTCGTGACGAAGGCTTAGTCTGTGGCGGTTGGCCTTTCCAGTCCTCGCAGCCGATAGCGTCCCGATACTGTGGCAGATTCATGGGAGATGGGTTGTTTTTGACTTGTCTTGCATAGCGAATCGCCCGGGCCTCGAGTTCCTGTTGTTTGAGTTCCTGTTGCTTGAGCTCCTGTTTGCGCTTTCGCAGCGTGAGCACCTTGCGCATTTGAATGTATAGTGTACGATTCTTGATGGCGGATTTAAGCGCCACAGAACGCGAAATGCGCAATTCCAGGTCCTTTTCGACATCGTCGAGAACCTCGTGCCGAGGCGTTCCTGGAGGGGTGATGGGCCCAAGTTCTGTATCGCTTTCCTCCCAGGGATGAGCGCGATTCCGCAGCCGTTGCAGAGTGTCATCTTGAGATAGCACGTCTTTTATCGAGTCGCGGTTTAAGCTTCTTGCCAGGGGACTTGATTGCAGGGTGTGCTCCATGCTGACGACCTCTTGCAGAGATGCTTTGGGTCAAAGATTCGTCGGTGGTGACAGAGAAAAGAACGTAGAGTTCCAATCTCAACGGCCTCGCTCATCAAGGGCCGGCGGTGGCTTTTCATCAAGATGGGTAGCACAAGAGAGGCTGAGCTCCAGCTCCGCCATGTGTTGCCCTTCTGCATCCTTCGTCTAGCTTTCAATGGCTGGAGGAAGGCCACACCGCATGACAGGTTCAGGTCGAACGAGGCTTCGAAAGCTCGTGTCTTCGGGCTGCATGAATGAATGCATTAGTTGCTGTGCGCGCACGTTCTCGCTGTCAGTCGGTTGCAGAAGCGCCAGCGTCAGCCGAAGCTGCATGAGAACAGCAGGCCTGTCATAGGCCTGGCCGCTTGACGCCTCGCTACACTTGAGCAGCGTGCGCCTTACCCATGGGGTACAGGCCGTATGCAATTGAATTCTGCCACTCGAGTCGGGGGGATGTAAGAGTCAAAAACTGTGTCAAAGGTCTTTCGATTCAGTTCAGTTGCTTCAAGAGCTCCATACCTGTAATGCAGCTCATGCTCGAGTATTTCCCCAACGCCTCGCTGAAATGCGCAGAACACAACACGACCATCTCCTAATATCTCTTCCTCCCCCTCCCTCTTCCCCTCCCACCACGGAATCCATGCCCATACCTCCCAGGCCCAATTTCTCCCCTATCAATCTTCTCCCGTATCCGATCCTGTTCAGCATAGAACTCCTCTTCTCTCTCCTCCTGCTCCTTCTTCTCTTGCTCCGCGTCCTTGACCTTCCGAACCTCAGGCTTCCTAGGATTGAGGTCCTCGTCTTTGATCCATTTCGCATGGGCGCCATACTCGCAGCTAACGACCTTATCAAGATCTGGAGGATGGGCGCGACCATTTGGGCAGAACCCTGCGAGGTAGAAGGGGCAGAGTTTGGGGTGTTTGATGTGGCGAAGGTTGCAGTAGGGTCCTAAGGGACAGAAGCCTCTCGCGTAGTGAGGACATGCGGGTCGGCGGAGTTCGGAGGTGGGTGGGATGTGGAGGTATGTGCAGTCGTCGCCTTGGGGACATATGCCATATCTCGAGAACTCCTTACATTCTCGCTCGTCGCGAAGGTTGAATGTGTGCGCGAACTCGCAGGATTCGGCTTTCTTGCAGAGGCCTCGCTGGTAATGTTTGCAGATGAGATGGGGCACGCCTGATCTCTCGCTCTGGGGCAGGTAGTGGCGATCAGGACATGACGCGCCTCTGGGACAGGCTTTGCCTTTCGAATCGAGGAAGTCTTGACAGAGCGGACGGGTGACCTTCGAAGGCGCGCCGAGGGTAGGGATGGCGGCTTTGAGGTAGTTGCTGAAGGTGAATTGTGGCGGCGTGTACGTCTGCGGGTTGAGGATCTGCTCTGGCAGCGGTGGGCGCCGGTCGGCGGTGGCCATGCTGTGTGGAGTGAGGTGGATGAGAGAGGTGTAGTTGCATGTAGTGGTATAGCAGGAATACTAGCGCGAGTCGCCGGCGGAGAAGCTTCTCGGCATGTGGGTGAACGACTTGACTTGGTTAAGCGGTGACGCTGCGCAGGGAATAGCAGCAATTCCCCTGCTCCTACACTACCACTATACTGCTACATCTGCAACTCAATCTCGACTACACGTGCGAGAGATCCAGCGGCCAAAAGCAAGCAACATCAACACTGTCGACGAGGCTGTCGCGTCCAACGGCGGGCGACGTCACCAGCCGCACCCCCTCCTTGCTCCGATCAACCTCTCGCCCGCGCCGTCTCGGATTCAGCAGCGGGCGCAGCAGCAGCAGCAGCAACACTCGAAGCACGGAATCCTCGTCGTGCGTGCTGTCATCTCTGCTTATAAGCCCACTCACCCCTCCGCCTCACTTTCACCACCACCTGCCCACGCCGGCTCGTGACACTCGCTTGTCCGAATCGCATTCCTGCGCCGCCCGCAGCAGCCTCACCACCGCGTGCCATTATCATGCTCCACCACCGACTCCCACTGTAGGCTTCACTTCCCCACCACGAATAGCGTTTCACCACCGCCGACATGGTGTCCGATACTATCTACGAGCTGTGCCGCCCCGTCCTGGACAATGACGACCTGGAGGAGGAGGCCAAGACGGACGCTCTGGAGGAGCTGCTGAGCAGCGAACCCACCTCGCTCAAGGGCAAGGCGCTGGAAGATGCCGTGTTGGGAGTCCTGTGGCAGTGGAAGACTGCGACCGAGAACAAGACATCCTCGCCGCCACCTGCGCGCAATGTGCATGTAGCCCGTTCGCGATCGCCCGCGCCGTGGATCCAGCGAGCTGCGACACCCACGGCTTCTGGCACCAACTCGCCCAGAAGCTCTGCTGCGACACCGTCCATCCCTCCAGGCTTCGGCCCAACACCACCTGCGCTGGCAAGAACAAAGTCGCAAACCGTTGGCTCACCGTTCTCTTCACCCAAACCCTCCCCACGTCTGCCGCTTGCCACGCCAGTGATACCCCACAGCCCCAGACTGAGCGCATACCAGTTCAGCGACTCCTCACCTAATACCGAAAACTATGGCGACTACGGCAGCGATACTGTCGACTGGCTCGTCAATGACGACGCAAGCAGCAATACCAGCTTTAGTGATGCTGGTTTTGGTGCTTCCGACTTCATATCCCCCTACACCACCGAAATGAGCCCTTACGACATGCTGCGATCGATTCTGCAAGACAACAAAACCGACGAGGAGTTGGAGCAGATACTTGAGGCGAACGGGTATGACCTGAGTCAGACTGTCAACTCACTCATGGAAGCTCAAGGCATGGGCGCGAACCTTATGGCTGCCACCATTCAACAGCAACAGGAGCAGAATCGAAAATATTTGGTGGGCAAGAACATGTCGCCGTCCTCCCGACCAGCCACGCCAGCCGGGCAGCAGAAGACAGCCACCGTGTGTCGATACTGGCTGGCCAGTGGACATTGCGCTCGCGCTGATTGTAGGTTCGCGCATCAAGTTCAAAACCACGTCTGCAAGTACTGGCTGCAAGGGAACTGCATTGCGGGCGAATCGTGTCTCTTCTCCCACGACCCAGCACTGCTGATGCAGCAGCTGAGCGTCGCAGCTAGCGGCTCCAACACTCCACAACAGCTAGGTCCAAACTTCCAGCTTCAGGACTACGACAGTTTTCCGGCTCTGCAGCCTACGACTAGTAATCCATACGACGACAGTCAGAGTGTCGATCCTTCCACCCTCAACGCTGTGCTTCAGCAACAGCAGCAGCAAAGTGCCGTCCCGCCAGGACTCTTTCCAACCTTTGTTCCTACTGGACCACGCCATGGCAGCCGACCAGGCTCTCGACCTGGCAGTAGACATGCATCGCGAGCTCCAACACCTAGCCAACAACCCAACTTCCAAGACGACGAAGCCTTCCCCACTCTCGGTTCTGCTGCTTCCAAACCTCTCGGCAAGAGACACCACGGCAAGCGAGGTGGACACGGTCACCACAATCACGGACCTCCTGTTCAACAGCCAGGTAGTCTCGCTGATGTAGTGCGCATGTCACCATCGCCCAGTCCCAATGTCAGCAGAGATGCAATGCGTCGTGGATTGAGAAACAACCGATCCTTCACATCAACTCGTGAGAACTCCGCCGCAGCAATGGCAATCGCCGCGCCAAAAGAGATACCATGGCTGGAGACCGGCGACAAAGTCAACAGCGCATATATGAAAGCCCGCCAAGAAGCCTTTAAGCACGGCGGCCTTCGCAACAAGTTCCTCCAAAGCGCCGCCCAAGCCTGGAACCGCAACGACGCCCGAGGCGCCAAAGCCCTGTCATTACGCGGGCAGAACGAAAATGCCCTCATGCGCGAGAAACACCGCGAAGCCGCCCGCGCCCTCTACGACGAACGCAACAAATCCCTCTCCTCCGGCAGCGGCAGCAAGGAACTCTACGTCGACCTCCACGGCCTCCACCCCGAAGAAGCCGTCCAATACCTCAGCGACTGCCTCAAAGAGCAGAAATCCTCCTCCCGCCCCGTCTACGCCATCTGCGGAACCGGTCACCACAGCAAGAACGGCAAAGACAAAGTCGGCAAAGCAATCCGACAGTTTCTGAACGAGTGGCGATACGCCTTCAGAGAGTTCAGCGTCCCCGGCGATCGAAATAACGTCGGTGGGATTCTGGGGATCGATCCTACGAGTTTCGAGAGGGAGGCGGGAAAGAGGGGTGGCGTTGGTGTTGGGGATAGTGATAGTGGGGTGGGACTTGATGAGCAAGGGAGGAATGTGAAGGAAGATACCAAGGTGCAGGTTGTTAGGGAGGATCCGAGGAAGGTGGGTGCTTCTTCGAAGGGGAAGGTTGAGGTGGATGGGAATGATGGGGATGGAAGCTAGCTAGGTGCTACTGTGAGAGAGCTGGAAAGTGAAGAAGAACAGACGAATGAAAAAGAAAAGAAACATTCAAAAAATATCGTCGTGGTTCTATTTTCTTTTTCTCTTTGCGTTGCGTGGATTCGCGATAATGCAGAGCCATAACACGGAACTTCATCTAAGCGTACAGTACACTCCTACTGACAGGCAATTGGAACGCAAGAGAGCATGCATCCATCACGCTCCCCATCACTCATCCCACCAATCCCCACACATCGAAGTCTCCAAAAGTCCAAGCCCCAAGACTCCTACAACCCCAACCCCTCCAAATACCTCCTCGCCCTCTCAACCGCCTCCTCCACCTTACTTCCCTCCGTCCCCTGCCCCAGACTCGTCGCCCCCTTCCCCCCCGCCTTCCCCCCCACAACCCCCGCGACCTCCCCGCTCCACTTCCCCGCATCCACGCCCTTGCCCTGCGCGGCAGAACTAACATGACACCCGTGCAGGACTTTGCCTTCCTCGCTCTTGCCCAACAGATAAACGGTCTTGTCCTTATTCTTGGAGGAAATCGTCTTGAGGGCTTCCTGCACGGCTTTGCTGCCGGGGGAGAGCGTATCGGGGATATTCAGCACGAGGGACGTGGCGTCCTTGTGGGTGGTGAAATGCTCCGTAATAGCGTCGAGGACGCGTTTATTCTCCGCCTTCTGCAGGGCTTTCTGGTGGTCCAGATTCTCCTTGACGATTTTCGCGAAGCGCTCGCGGAGTTTGTTCTTCGCGAGGAGGGAGATTTCGAGGCTGGAGAGTTCGTGCTGCCATTCTTTCGTGCGGGACTCTTTCTCGGAGCCGAAGGGGAGCTTCTCGAGGGCGGAGACGCGGTCGTGCCATTCCTGCGCTTTGAGCTGGACGAAGTGTGCGTCTTGGCCCGTGACGGCGACGATGCGGCGGATGCCCTTGGCGATGCCGCTCTCCTCGATGACGACGAGGTCTTTGATCTCGCCGCTGTTCTTGACGTGCGTGCCGCCGCAGAATTCGACCGAGACTTGTTCCCATTCTGGGCGGGAGACGTCTTCGAGGAGTTCGTCGACGGGGACGCCGATGGAGACGACGCGGACGGGGTCCGGGTAGGTTTCGCCGAAGACGGCGCGGACGCCTTTGATTTGTTTGGCGGTGGTGAGGGGCACTTCCTTGGAGTAGACTTCGCTGTTTTGCCGGATGTAGCTCGTGCTGAGTTCTTCGATCTTGTGCAGTTCGGCGTCGGAGCAGCCTTGCTTGTGGGAGAAGTCGAAGCGGAGCTTTTCCTGCGCGACCAGGGAGCCCTTTTGGTTGACGTCGTCGCCGAGGACTTCTCGTAGGGCGAAGTTGAGGATGTGCGTGCCGGTGTGGTTGTTGCGGATGGGCTGTCTTCGCTCTTCGCTGTATTGGCATAAGACTTCGTTCCCTGCTTCGAGAGAGCCGTAGTTCATGTAGCCGGTGTGCATCACGTATCCAGCGTACGTCTGCACGCTTTGGACATCGATCTCCGCCTCGCCGTCGATGAGAATACGTCCAGTGTCCGCTTCTTGACCACCCTGCTCAGCGTAGAAGTTGGTTCGGTCGAGAACAACACCAAACTGATCGCCTTCAGGAATCTCCTTGGTCGACTTCACAAACTTGCCACCGTGGTAGAAAGTCTTGATCACGGCGTGGATGTTGCCCTTCTGGAATTTGGCAGAATCGTCTGTCTTTGGCACGTCAGGCATCTTCTCCAGTTCGTTGATATCGTGCACATTGAGCTTGACCAGATCTGCGCCCTCCTTCTTCGCGCCTTTGGAGGCTTCACGATGCTTCTGTTCTGCAGCAGCAACATCATCTTCGTTGATGTCCAGACCACGCTCTTCAGCCATGATCTTGGTGAGATCCACCGGGAAGCCGTAGGTGTCGTACAGCCGGAAGACATCAGCACCAGCAAGATTCTTCGCACCATTCACCTTGCACTGTTGAGCATACTTCTCGAACATGACCTCTCCTCGATCCAATGTCTTGGCGAACGTGACCTCTTCCTCGTCAAGAATCTCCTGCACTTCAGCCTGCTTCTTCTTGATCTCCGGGAACATCTCGCCCATCTGCTCGACCAGTGTCGGCACAATCTTGGAAAAGAAGCTGCCGATTTCGGTGTTGAAGTATTTGCGGGCGTAGCGAGCGCCACGTCGAAGCACACGACGAACGACGTACCCTCGGCCGGCGTTGTTTGGTGGTGCGCCGTCAGAAATGGCGAATGTGAGGAGTCGAACGTGGTCTGCAACTACTCGGTACGCAGTATCGACGCCATCTGCATCCTCGTCGCCAAACTTGCCGCGATATTCTCTCGCGCCTGTGACTTCTTGAATGCGCTTGAAGAGTGGTGTGAAGACGTCGGTATCGTAGTTTGACATCTTGTTCTGTAATACTGACACCAGTCGCTCGTAACCCATTCCAGTGTCGATGTGCTTGGCTGGGAGCGGCTTCAGGCTCTTATCTGGCTCACGGTTGTACTGAATGAAGACGTTGTTCCAGATCTCGAGCACGTTCGGGTCATCCATATTGACCAGATGTGCAGCATTTCGACCGCCAATGCGGTCGTAGTGAATCTCCGAGCATGGTCCACATGGGCCTTGGTCACCCATCTCCCAGAAGTTGTCCTTCATGTCGCCGGTCAAGAGGTGGTCATCAGCAACGCCAACAGCCTTCCAGTAGTCTCTCGCCTCCGTGTCAGGTTCCAGGCCTGCATCTGGCTTGCCCTCGAAGTAGGTGACATATAGCCGGTCCGGGTCGAGCTTGAAGACCTTGGTCAAGAGCTCCCACGAGAATTGAATGGCTTCCTTCTTGAAGTAGTCGCCGAATGACCAGTTACCCAGCATCTCGAAGAAAGTGTGGTGGTAAGAGTCCTTGCCGACATCGTCCAAGTCGTTGTGCTTGCCACCCGCACGAATACATTTCTGCGAGTTGACCGCACGCTTGAGTTTGGCGAAGTCGGAGTTAGGGTCTATCGTTCCAAGGAAGATGGGCTTGTACTGGTTCATGCCAGCATTGGCGAAGAGAAGAGTCGGGTCTGAGAGAGGGACCACGCTGCTGCTGGGGACGAACGTGTGGCCATTTTCCTTGAAGTAGCTGGAAACATGTTAGTCTAGGATCAAATAGATATCTCCAAAGCAACATGAGCGAGTTTCATGCCCAAGAGCTTTTCTCATAGTCGAGCATGAAAATATGCACACGCACGTGCTCTCCGCGCTATTGATATAGCCAGTTTAGAGGGGAATTTGGGGGCGAGGACTTACTCGAGGTAGGCCTTGCGGACATTGACGGCCGTCCACTCAGGCTCCTGGCCTGCGGTGGAGGCCATGGTGCGGAATGGGTTGCGTGACAGTGGATATGGGGGTTGTCGGCGGTGGTGCAGCAAACCTTTCAGTGAGCTTCTAGAATTCCACAACCGCTTCGTCGGCGCCGAGAGGAAGAAGCTCCGCATGCACTACAAAGCCCGCCGCTCTCACTCTTCAGCCGCAGCAACGCCGTTCTGTTTTTTGTTTGCGTGGATGATGAGTTGATTGCGAATCAAGTCCTTGGAGAAGAGAGGTGATGTTGACGATGTGGAACACCGGCGCCGGCGTGGCCAATGGTGGTGGAGCGGGCTCTCTCGCTGGCACCAAGCGCCGCGCAGATGACTCAATTGGTGACTCGGAAAGGTTTACCAAGCGATTCAATCTACTCAATCTCGGTATGTGAAACGACGTCACGAATGGAAAAAGGCAATGTCTAACGTGTGGTGTGAATGTAGAAGGGAACAAAGGCGGCATCAACAGCAACTACTACATCCCCATCTCCAAACCCCCGACTTCACCGACCGCGCCGATCACTGCGAGTAGTAGTACCGTAAATAATGCGCCAGCCCGCACAGACGATGAGTTGATGCAGGTGGACGATACGCGCGATCGCGTATACATTCACGACCTCGACGAGGAACTCGCAGACATCGAATCGGACGAGGAGAAGCTTATCTTCCTGCCAGACATCGACAAAAAGCTGAGCAGGATCTCCCAACAGCTGCTGCAAAGTCGCAGAGATGAAGATCACGAGGGTCAAGAGCTGGTGTTGTACAGTGTGCCCAAGTCACTGACGGTAGATGAGGGCCACGATTCGGTCAGGAAAGCCATCATTGAGAGCAGGCAGCGGGCTCGTGAAAAGGCAGAAGAGGAGGCCAGACATCATGATATGAACTGCAAGTATGATCAGAGTGATCATGCAGAAGCCGTAGCAGAGACTGCGCATGGATACAGCACCGGTTATGTGGTGGAGGAGGATGACGATCCCGACGTGATGGACATGGACTGAGGCATTGAAGCGGGTGCTGTATTCACTGGAAACTCTCGCATGTGAAAACAGCGCATGGTTATATTCACCATGCGGCTCGATGTCGACACCGGCACAGGCTTATAATTACGACCCTGTTGTCGCGGAACATTGGACAAAGTTCCATGCACTCATTACCATGGCACCCACGCCGCACTCCGTGTTACCGGAAACGACGAGGCCGGCGGGCGATGCGTTCGAGTAAAAATCACTCATCATCTCCTCGTCTTTATAGCATACTGACCCCGCATAGTTTCTTCCAACCACCCATCGCCGTCAGCGTGGGCGACCCAGCGACCACCTTCCAAATAAATGCAAACATCCTATGCACTTCTTCGGGCTACTTCCAGGCAATACTCTTGGAGAAGAAGCCACACGGCAAACAGATATCCATAGAGCTGCCTCGGCATGAACCTGCGGCGTTCAACATCTACTTGAACTGGCGCCATCGAGGCAAACTCTTCATCAACCAGCCAACCGGAAAGAACGCAAAGGGCAACGAAGATGTCTTTCGCGAATCTTTCTGGGAGAACATGTTGGAAGCATACTTCTTGGGCAACAAGATCGACGACACAGATTTCGAGGACGCCCTTCTGGACTCGGCGCTTCTCGCAATGCTCGGCGATGATGAAGGCGTGACATGGTACCCGGGCCGCCGCATTCGACAACGTCTTTACGAGCGCACCTCTCCTGGCTGCTGCATGCGACGCTTGTTCGTACACATGGCGGCTTCTTTGACCAACGTGAAGCAGCTGGTTCATGACGATGACCCTCTCACCTTCCTGCAAGAGCTTCAACGAGAACTGGCGAGCGGCAAAGAAGAGGATACATATCAAATTGGTGTGGAACGCGCTTTCCACGAGCATGCTCTCGAAGAGAAGAATTGCTATCGTAAGAAGAAGGGGTTTTCTGATTTAGTCAGGGAATGAAACGGCGGTCAGAATGGAGCTGTAGCCCGTATTACTTACCTCAACCCCAAACCACACTCTGGATTCTCTGAAGCACTCCACCTCATGATCCCGACACCCTTCAAATCCTCAGCTACACGACTCATCAGGTCGGCGGAATATTAGGAGATGCTTATTCTCAAACCCGTTGAAGTCGGACGCGCCGCGTTTTGGGGGCTGGAAAGACCTCGAAGCGCTGGCTTGCGTTGCCGCCCACCCACTCTTCTGCTATTCTAATAACGTGCAGGATTCCTGGATGGTGCGGCCGCTATGGCTGTGCCGCTTATGCCGCATGTTTTTCGTTGAGTTTGTTCGGTGGGTATCATAAGGAGTTCTGTGGTATGTATTGAGGACGTCTGGTGTTGGATTTACTTCCGCTTTCATTGCTGCAATATGCGCTTGCCATCTTTCTTCATTCTCTTCATCACGTCCAGTTCAGCACAGAGTTTCCAGGTTCCTCACTACCGACGAAATCCAAGTGCGAACGACAGTATCGCTACAGAATCGCATCAGCCTCCTAGCAGCGAGCAGTCCAACACCGCCTTTAATAATGCCTCCATCTACGACAAGCTCCCAGGACTCTGGTTCGAGACATGCAATGACGACGAGGGCAACCCACCATGTACAGCATACTGCCACAAGAACGATACATCATGCCAGTCACTTGCCGGCGGAGTTGTCTCTGCATGTAAGGATCTGTGGTCGACGTATAATGGAGACAGAGACAGGACATCGGATCCGGCGCCAGGATGGTCACTATACTACACAACTTACGGCCAAGATCCGAGTCTGATGTCCACCACTATTGACGTTTACAAAACATTCAGCACTGCTAGTGTTGCTGTGACCAAGCAAAACGTTCACACGAACGAGACGAATCGTCAAGTCACGATAACACCAGTATATGCGCTTGGACGACCGTCTCCAAGCGTGAAAGTGACGACAGCCACGGAGTGGGCAGTATCGAACAGTTGGCTAACAAAGCCTACGCCGAGCTGCAGATACGTCACCTTGTCGACGAGCAACGACTGTGGCAAATGCTCGATATATGGGGGATCTGTTGAGCTGTATTACTGGCCGCCGACGACTAATACCGACACTGCGATGTCAACGCCTGCAACGCGGTCTATGGAACTCACGAACGGCATAACGCTCTTCTCTCCCACGGTGTACATCTCGCTCTCGACTGTGTATGCATCCAACTGGTGCACTCGAGTCGGTCAGAACCATACTGGCACACTTCTCGCGATGAATCCTACAGATGTTTCGACTCAATGGCACTGGGGTGGAAAGGTTGGCCAGAGCGCAGCCAACTCGTATGGCCCAATCAACTACACCGACCTCGCTGGCTTGACCCCTGTTACCGACTACGAGCAGCAGCCATCGTGCATCATGTTCGGCTGCTCGACAATATTTCCAACTTGGAATCCGACGCTTGTCGTGCCCTCAGCTTTGCGAACCTTGGCCCCAGAATGGGCGGACTGTGGGGCGGCGCTGGAAGGCCTGTAGGTCCTAAGAAATGGCACTGGTGAAGGTCCAGGCACTGACAAATGTAGTTACGACCCCCCAATTGCTTTGACCGAACAAGCGGTCATGGCCACCCCGACCTTGCCTGTTGCCAACGTCATCACAATGACTACCGCGACTTCTGCTGTCTCTTACGAAACAGCTAGTCAATGCTCTGCGCCTTCAAGTTCAACGCCAACGAAGACGAGCGATCCATCCACTACAGCTGACGCAGGGTCGAAAAATCAAGCAAGCGACCTCGCAAGTCTCATCGCAGACGGTGGGGAATCATCACAAGGCTCTTCAATCTCGAACCATGAAGATACGGCAAGCTTCTCTAATTCTCCATCGACCGACAGACCACTGGCAGAGACTCCGACTGTCAGTCCGACGACACAAGTGGCGAGAGTTTCTTCATCGGCGCCGCCGTTGTCCGCCGTTGTCACTGAAGAGCAGACGACCAATGTTGCTGGCTACATCGCATCTATTATGTCCCTCATCGTACAAGCGACTACTCTTACGAGCTTCAAGCTTGTATCTGATGAATCAAGAGCTCATGCTTCCAGCACCGCACAATCAACAACAATAATTGCCAGTCAAGGGACGGCATCTAGCACATCCAGTGTAGGGGTCACATCCGAGGCCGAGGCTTCCAGTCGCAAACCTGATGCTGACACTGCCGTCTCTTGGCCGACTCCAACTGTTCATCGAAACGAGCAAGGCGACTTCATCGTCAATGGCATGACTCTTGCACCCGGATCACCGATCACACTTCTCCACGGATCATCTCAACTGACGGTCGCTATGGCCGTCACAGGTGGCAAGACATTAATCCAACTCGGCGCGACACGTACTGCATCTCTGGGTCCACCGACAACATCTCCATCGGCCCCATCAAGTGACCCTAGCCAAAGTAAGGCCACGAACTCGACGAATTCTTCCTCATCTACTATTCGAATATCTTCAACAGCTTTATCCTCCACAAGCAACGTGGTGGAGCCTCGTCCTTCTGCAACGTCTGCAGCACAACGCATCAACGTCCGTTTTCAGATCTGGGCCGCAGCCACCTTGACGACGGTCGTTTGGCTGGCGCTGTCCTTGATTGCAAATTAGACCAATACACCATGGATGACCAGCCACACAAAGGCTCTACGAGTTGACGGGCAGAGTAGCTGATGTTGGGATTGCATGTGTGGAGTTCTTATGGAGACTTTTCGGAACACTTCTGAAAGCAGAACTCATCAGAGGAGGTAATCTGGAAACCTGGCCTGCGACCCAGAATCCAGACTAAGATTTGCACGATCCCATCTTATATTGCAATAATGGCGGAGGCACTCCGAGATGCTTTCTCTTAGCGCCCACGTGAAGTTCAACCGGCATGAAGGATTCGAGCCTCGCCGTTACAGACCACCGGGACCAAATGGATTTGCTGCGATTTGATTGGTCACAAGCTGCCAAGCCCACGAAACCTTCACGCTTCCCCTAACCTCACCTCTACACAAATCAACGCTCTTCTACACACAACCATCAACAAAACACACCTAAGGCGGCGGCAGCATCATGAAACAATTCAGTTGGGCAAATGCGCAAGTCGGTAGGCTCCCGGCAGATCCGACCCCCTGAATCAAGCATTCTGCTGCACGTTTCCGTGCGGGACCTCCGCTAGTTCAGCGAGGGAGTACACTGTATCGCGACGTCAGTGGTCCATTGCGCTGGTCCTTCCCATCTCCTGGAACACGCTATCTACAGGCTCTGGCAAGAATGATATGAACCCCTGCTAGTTTCTCAGCCTTTATCTAGCTATATATGGAAGAATAAGTGGGTCACCACTTTGTATAGCCTCCTTCAGTATCGATTACTGCCTAATATCTTTCCCTAATACTCTAGTAGATCCTTAATATATTAGATATCGATAGCTTTGTCTATTTAGTCTATATAGCCTAAATAACCTCTACCCTTATTATAGGGAAATAAAGCCTAACCCTATACTTTAAAAGACTCTAAAGATTCTTAATTAGATTAAGATCTAGTAAGTTTACTAGCTATATAAGGAGC